AAAGTAATAACGACATTTTGCACTTTCTTCCTGTTTCATCGAATTGAAAGTTTTGCACTCTGTCTGCATCCCTGTGCAGCAGAATTGCAAAAATTCGACCATAAAGTCAATTGACGTAGGGAAAAATCCGCCATCGATAAATTGCTGTTCTTCCGATTTTGTTTGAAGTCTCATTAACGTCGTAATTCCAAAAGTCTACCGCAAAGTTAAACTTGTACACGAAAACGCGAATTTTGTGGTTTTCTCTGCAGCAAGAAATAAACAGAGCATGACGAAAAAGAAAGAGAGAGAATGAATAACGACCCTTACAATGAAACAAAGGAAATGCACATTGCGGTGGTTTCCTCGAATTTGCGTTAACGGAATTCGTAAATTAACGCGCGAACGTTGACGATGCAAGCATCAACCGACTGATCAGCCATTATCATCATAATTAACTATGTTTGCTTATCACTTGTGTCAATAATTTCTTCGCGTGTAAATCGTAGATTACTTTGGCATCCGCGCCCGCATATGCAGGTCAATTAAGTTCCTATATTTAATGACCTATACTCAAACACAATATATACATGTACATTTTTACACGGTTTTGATCGTAATTTATTGCTTATCTTTAAAATATATTATTTATTATTAGCTCTATTAAAAATGTCAATTTTATTTGATTAATTTTCTTAATCAAATAATTTTCTTCAAAGTTTCTGAAACTGCTGTAAAACAATAATTCAATTTCTCTTACAAGTTCTCTTATGAATATTTAATTAATTTTGAATATTTAGACATAGAAGCATTAAAACGTATTTTAATATGTTATTTAGAATATATCATTTTTTCAATACTTTGTCTATGCGTATATAGTATGTGTGCATGTGTACCATATATGTGACTGCCAAGTAAACAGATAATATGGTAAATTATTTATCAGACATGAGATGTTGTGCAACAGGTGTAATACACAAGAAATCGACCAGCAACATAGGCTACTGCTTGTTTCTGATCGTTGATTAAGTGGCAGATTTTGAAACTTGGTCCAGAGTAATTCCATTATCAATTATTCGTGAACCAGAATGTGGTTTTAAATCATATGTCTTGTTCACTGATGAAAATAATTTATTGATTAAGAAATATATTTTCTATTAATCTTAATGTACATATATAAATACACGCACGCATGCACGTACACACACACATGTTTTCTCGTAAAAATCAATAACACTAAAATTTTAGTTCTAGGCTGAAAATTTAGATTCATGCATTATTTCAGTCTCACGCTCTGATTCACATATGCAAAGTAGAGTAATTTACACTCAAGTATTTCAAAAATTATTCAAATTTCGTTAACTGTTATGATAATATGGGTTGAATCAGAAATTATATAATCGCGACACAGAAAGAGCGAATTTTCTGAAATTTAAAAATAAATGAAAATTAGTTTGGAATAAAATTTGAGATTTTTGTCCATACATATAGCATATATTCGCAATTCACAAGCTCTCGATTAAATTTTGCAGTGCCTGGTATAGATCACCTAATCCACTATGAATACATTCATCTTATATCTCGCAAATTCAGGCAATCGTAGTTCTCAATTTAAGTGACAGATTTTGAAATTCGGTCCAGTAATTCTATTATTAACTTGTCACTGAACCTCAAAGCTTAAGTCTAAGTTTTATTCCATCCATCAGTGCATGTAATTTATCGACTAAATGATTCTCCTTTGATAAACCTATGAAATCAATATTTTATTTGTATATAAAATTGAAATCAAAAATTAATGTCTAACTTTTAATATTTTATAATATAATATTTAATATAATTGATATAATATATATTCAGTATTATATTACTATTAATATTAATTCATCCTTTTGTAATGAGAGAAATTATATATACATAAATTTTTGCAACACTGCGATTTTATATTTTACAACTCAATTTTCCGCGCTCTTTTAATATTACAAAAAAATATAGAAGAAAAAATTCAAATCCACGAATTTTTAAATATTGGTCTTTTCAACATTTCCTATTTATTTCAGAGAGTACACCTACATTTCTCATTCAGACGCGATAAAGACGTCAAACGCAAGCCACAAGGTTCCACGAAATCTCTTCAATAATTTAGAACCTTAGAACTAAGGAGTCTTCGCGAATACACGAAGCTTAGATAGCAAACCATCAGGAGTTCATATCCATTATGAGGTCAACGTGAACTGTAAATTATGTATAATAAGGAAATATGGTAAATTTAGTTTGAACAATTTTTGTAACGTTGCAGTCTAGATATATACAATATACATACACACGTTTAATTTGAATCAAAATTTCATCGGATAATAATTTTCATAAATATTAATTCTCTTTCTCATGCATTTTTAGCAAGCAAGCGCGAATTCTGGCGACGTAAGCGCTTTGATCCGCATGTGACCGTATCAGGGATGGAAAGTTGAAGTTTCCACCCTTACGTCCGTTACTAACGCACATAGCTAATATACGCAGAGAACAATGGTAATCTGCTTTCCCTAGCCATACCAGAAGCGAGACGGATAATTTGATGCTATTCCTTTGTAGAATTGAGTTCCTTAAGCGATTACTCTCAGCTATGTGCAGTCTAGGTATTGTGGAATGAATTGGCTCGTACAGTACGAGGTTTCTCAGTCTCCGCGTTTGCACTTAAAGTGCAATCAATACTTCCGTCGTAGTTACCTTACGCCCATTTACCCTCCTCATCTCTTATCCGTGCATTATAATTTAAAGCTATTATTCCCATAAAGCGTGTTTGTGCAATCGAGTTATTAGCAATATCATCATTTACGCTTTGATATCATCTCTCATTAGAATCTATCGATACAATTTATTCAGTGCAATTTGTAATCGACATAAATCATAAACTATAATATATATATTCTTAAATTCTAGTTACCTCAATTGCTTAAAATATCGGATTGTTATATATACTGATGTAATACCTCTTTCATTATTAATTGTATACCTAGTATTTATTTAATTTTCAACGATTTATATAGAACGGAATATACGGATAATTTATTTTTCGTTTTTTATTTTTCCTTTCACTCTAAAAAGCCTCTTGTTTGTGTATTCGTATTTCTGTTGATTCAGATGCGGGTCAACAAATTGTATGAACCCATTATCCTGTTTGCAATGCACACGATCCCGCGGCTTTACGCAAATTATTTGTCTTTAATAATTTTGCTTTACGTATAGCTCCGCGATAGCGCGACCGCAAAGGGAGGAGAGGAAGAGGATGACATAGGGGTGGTTTATTGCCCTTTTGTAAAGGGAGCGCGTTTGTGTGAAAACGAGATTAGTAGCGTTCAAAGAAATCGAGATCGCTCGTATTACGAGACACGGAATTACGGGAACGTACAATTATTTCGCCTTTGCAAATCGAGCTGCAATGAAAGAGCGCATCTTGAAGTCTCATCGACCGCGCGCTCATTAAATCACATAAGGGTATTATGGCGCTTATTTCTCACCCCCGTCGTTGGCTCTGATTTTACGAGCGGACGCTACGACGCGGCTTTATAGCGCTCCATAAATAGTGCCCATCATTTTTTGCGAACGCGCGCACGCGGGATTGTTTCTCTGCGGACTAATCGGTGCGCGCCGATTCGACGAGATAACGAGCTTCGATTGCCTAGCCCCGAGCGGCTGTATCGTGCGGAATCCATTTATTAAAATCGATTTACGAGACGCTCGTCGAGAGGCAATGAATAAATCATTTTATGAAGCGTTTTATCTCGATGCTATTGCAATTCTCTAGCTTTCGAAAGCTGATGGGGAAAGTAGTAAAACCAAGTGCGCTCTCAATGATTTCTTCTTCGTTTTTCAACTATTTTTCAACTGAAAGAATTTTTTTAACTAGCCCGACAATTTTTTTTTCTTTAATTCTACTATAATTACAAAATCGCGTTCTAATTTTTGTTGGCCCATTTTTTATTCATTCCTTTTTTTCATTCTTTTTTATTATTTTTATTCATATTCTTATTTTTTCATATATATATTAAAGTATGTCTTTTTCATTTATATTAATTTCAACATTTACATTCTATTTCTCCAAACTTTACATATTTTTCTTTTGTCAGTATATGTTAACATTTGCGTGAAATTTCATGAAACACAGCTAGCAAATGTAATTTACATATAATTTACAATTGACGCGCGAGAAAATCCCAGTTCTGCACGGACAAGCGGATATGATCCGCAGAAGAAAAGCAACGTAGTTCTGATTTTACAATGTCTCTCGACACAATTCGGATGTTAATACACTTTCAAAGTCTCAGCTTTGCATCCTAGAGAGGAGCGTCATTTGTCCGGCGTTATAACAGTCGTTGACTATATATTGTTACACTTTCCGATGACGTAAAATGCCGGGCAATCGGCACATTACTGCGTGTGTCTCACGATTGCACCATCCTCCGAGAATCACACAATGTGTATCCGCTGTCAATGCGGCCACAGCTACCCGGCTCGCGTGTTTGCGTTTGCTCACGACTAATAAAAGAGAGTGCGTTCCCCGATCCATCATTCCTTCGAATAGTTTCATCGAAGACACACAATTGCGTCGTTCATCGTTGCGCTCGTTCAATCCAGTATTTACATGACGACGATGCGCTCCATTCTTTTACGACAAAAACGAAAAAAGGCAAAAATAAATATGTATATAAAATAAAAAATATAAAAGTCTAAAAAAAATATATATACAGAAAAATATTCCGTTATATATTTTTACTACTGAGAAAATCGATCTCACGAAAAATGACACTTCTTTACTTTTCGTTTCATTTATAGCTAACATTTCATAAAAACAATAATATATTTTTATAAAAGCACATAACAATATACTCGATTGTATAAATAGGTTTATTTTATGAGATTATGTCACCAAATCGAAACTTTGGAAGTTCGATATTAAATATGTAACAAATATATCTCTTTTATCGCAATATATCTGACGTGAAAATGATTTTTTATGTTTTCAGAAAGCGCGTACGAAGATGAGGAGCAATTCGCCAGGGCAGCACAACCCCTGGTGAAGACGTTGTCGATGAAGAAGACGGTGGCCCAGGCGGAGGTGGTATGAACTTTCCCTTGAGAATGGCGGCCGACACAACGAGGGTCGAATCTCCAGCATCGCCGGTGGCTTCTTACGAGGTACCGGCCAGCAGGCGAACTTCGACCCCGAGGCACCTCCACCGCCGCCGTACGTCGCACAACAGCAGACAACCTGTCTGCTCGAGCGACCAGAAATTGACAAGAAAGTCAAGGTATTGTACAAACAAAGTTTATGTTCGCTACTTGGCGTTGAATGACAATCAAGTTTGCGTATCTGTGCAGAATAACGTAACAGGTCTCTTGTTATTTGGAGACCATTTTTCTTCAGCAAAAATATCGTGGCATCGATAAATAATTTTCGAGTTATAAGCGATTGAAAATAAAAGCTTTTTCGCAAACTAAAAATAAGCCTTGTGGAAATAAAATATTAAGAAAACCAATTAATTTCAAGTAGCGTTTACTTTAATAAAATTTTCATTTAAGATTTAATTATAAAGATACATGATGGCAAAAATTGGGAACATGGTCTGCCTTGACACTTTTTGCTGAGGAAAAGTCGTTTCCAAATAACGAGATCTACGTATATTTTAGGTGTGACACTTTGTGTCAGACATCCTATATAATTAATTTAAATAAATAACATATATTAATATCCTTATTAAATTTAAATATTATCTTTTTACTATTTAATTTCTCGATATATAAATAATTAATTCGCGAGAAATGAAACAGCTCTTATTATAAATTTAAACCGCGATTTTAACGATAATATTGCGACGACTGAGAAGGTTATCGGGTCGTAGATTCCAAGGGTTGAAAATAAATAGCGCCGCGGTTTCCTTTCGCATAAATTTCCTCGGCGCTGCGCCGGAAATTCCAACTCTCGAGTTTGACGAGCGAGGCAGAAGAACCCGGAAAAGCGGCAGCCGATAACGATGTTCCGATGTCGATCCAATTTGTGCGCGGCCTGCTGGCTTGCGAACTACAAGAAAGGGGTATAAAGAAAGGAGAGGAAGAGAAACGACTGTTCCTCCTTCACGGTTCCTTTATTGGCTCTCACCGGAAGTTTGCCGCGCGATAGCAATTTGCCTCTCCTCATCCTGATTTTCCGCCTGTCCGTTCAACAGGAAGAAGAAAAGCGCCGCAGTTGGGTCGAGTTAGATTAAATCTTAATGCTGTTTCGATAACCGCGTTTAGTAGACGACAGCGCGTTAGACCGGGCACGTTTATTTTTACATAAAGGGGAAGGAGGATTGGCAGGGATGTATAATATCAGCATGCCGGGCTTGCAAATTGATCGATGGCGCAGACATTTAACCTTCGAATAAGGCTAAACTCCTCTCTTGCTCGGCCGAAATCTTCCTTTATTCTATCTACGACTGCTATGTGCATTATTTAGATGCGGCACGGATTTGAAAATAACTTCGTCCGATTTTCAAATCGCACTCAGCTGCATTACGGAATAATTAATAATATTGTCTCGCGATTCTCCTCGCGTGTTGAAAAAAGAGAAAAATCGAAAATAGACATATAAAGTAAAGGGTATAAAGGATATAAATAAAAGTTGATCTCCGATCTCCGAAGAAGAGCGGAAAGCGCGCCAAACTTGGGAAAACTTAGTTTTCGTTTTTAATATATCGTTTTCCCGGATCGAAGATATCCAATAAAATACGAGACACAAAAATTCGTGAGCCTTCTCGAACATTTCGTGTTGAATAGCTGGCGGGAACTGTTCGTTTTTCTTGTCTCGTAAAACGACAAAGAGGTTGGATTCCCTGAAAGGCTAAGAACTACAAAGAAAAAATGCCCTCGATTTTTCCTGGCTTCACGTTTTCAGAATCAAAACCATCGTCCTATTACGTCTCTGTAACGCTCTATCGTCGTAACACGCACTTTACACACACGCGTTTAATCTATTCGGGGATGAAAAGCTCCAGCACAAGCGGGATGCTTTCATCTTTTAGTGCCTCATAAATGTCCTCGAGTGAGCTCGCGCAGCAAAAACGCAGCCACTGGTGTATTTTATAATCGAATCTCGCGGCCACCTTCGTGGAATTTTGTATAACGGTAAATTATTTTTCAATGAAGATTTACAATTAAGATTTCAAGCTGTTACTATTCAACTCTTGACAATTAAGACATTTTTCTCGATTAAGCAGTTTTTAATAATATGCATTTTTTGCCTGAAGTTTCTAGTTAATTGCGTATCTTTTATGCTTTTCTTCTGAAAATTTTGTATTTTGTAGATTTATTTAAATTTATGTTTCTTCTTTTATTTATATTCATTTACTTATTATATTAATTTTTTTTATAAATATTTATAAATAGTCACAGACAATATGCAGTTGATCTTGATAATATATTACTATTGCGCATCGGGGATAACAGAATTATTATGCTACTATATAGAGTGCATTCATCGTGCGACGCATGTGTAGGTCACAAGTGCAAATAGTAGATACAGACAGTCTAGTCAGACAGTAGTTACAGACTACACACTGCACGTGCAGACAGTGTAAGCGAAAACAGCCGAATGCGGACAATAGAAATGCAGACCAAATATAGAGACAGTAGGTATAGGTAGACATTAAAGACGATTGATATAATCACAGTTTAATGCATAAAGTAGGTTAATGGATTAACAACAGAAACACATGTCTATCTATATATAACCAAGCTAATCAAAATAAAAATAGATTACTCTTTTCAATTATATAATTATAGCTAATTAAGCGATATAAAAGCTTGAACAAATTCTCTATTTATTATCACAAATTATTATTAATAAGAATTTTTATATCGAATTATTTCTTATATTCATAAAAAGACCAAACAAATATTTACTTCAATTTATCTGTTTTCGATATTTTCAAGTATAACTAAACTATAAATTGTGCAAAATATAATAAAAGCAAAAAATATAAAGTGTAAATCTTTCGATATAAGTATATAAATGTAATATATTATTTAAATACCAATTTCGATAAAATTTATATCCCTATGAATTATGGATTATAAAATTTATAGCACCGGATTGCTTCTTGAACCGTACATATGTTGCTGATCGAATAATTCCTTAATTATATATATATAGGATTTATGGATCTTGTTAGATGTCTGTTTGCCAAAATCTCTGCTCATGTTGAGGCTCGAAATCCTTTAAGTTGTTCAACGAGGGCACTAAAGTGAAGCATTTAATCCGAGATGCCACGGTCGATGAGCGTTCCTGCGCTTACTTCCGCTCTTCTCCTTTTACCGGTGGATTTAATTCTGTTTGTAAAACCATCTCGCGGAAAAAAACTTTTCGGAAACAACTTTTCGTCGGGTAAAGGTGAGAGAAGGAATCCTCTTGCGAAACTAAAAAGGGATTTTGCTTGTGGATTTTTCTTTCACGAAATTCGCGTTGCCTTTTGGAAACAAAGATCTCGAAAATCGACGATGAGGGATCTTTTCGTAAAGTGGAAATCAATATCTGAGATTGAGGTCGTCGATACAATTCAAGCGCGAAACTCATTCTATTCTATGTGTACTCTAAGTTTGCCCTAATATTTTTACAATAAAGTACCATAAAACGCGAAAGCGTTTTAGAAAGAAACTTTAGAGAAAACTCTAAGAAGGATTTGGGGACAATCGAATTCGGTACCTTTAGGCCGCATATAAAAAAGCTGCATTCCACTTCCATTTTATTCAGTCCTTTGCAAATTACCAAGAAAAAAAAAGAAAAAGAGGAAATTGTATTCAATAGTTGAAAAATAGTTTATCTAGAGTAAAATAAAAAATTGCGTTCTATTTTTATATCTCTTAAATATATAATTATATACATTATATAATAATACATATAATATATATTACATAATAATTTCTAACTGAAATTATCAAGACATGCTTACGCATATGTATATCTCAGATTTTAGATCACAAAATACGAATTCTAATTAATGATTTCTAAACGATGGAAAAATGCGGAGAGAAAGAAAGATACAGACGTAAAAACGCGAAGGCATATAGTGTGTATTCTAATACGATGAGACATTTTTAGGATACTAGAAAATAATATCGCGAGGGCCGATACTGACAACAAGTGTTTGCTAAGGGCGCACCTTAATTGTCGACCTGGCGCACCCTCGATAAACACAGTCTGTCATACACATGCCAGCATACACGGCCCATGCTGTGATCCGCGCGATTCTCTTTCGTCGTATAACTGTCATACGGTCATCCCTTAAAAGTGGATTCCATCAAGGTGAAGATCCTGCGATCATGCGAGACAGCGGGTCAAGATTTATGCTCAAGTTATACACTCGTGTCTCAGCGATACACGTATCCGATATTTATGGATCGAGTTTCGAACGACATAATACATATGTTATCGTCGAATGACAGATATCACGGCAGAATTTGTTGCGGGGTGAAAAGGCAGCGTATACATATATGTATGCATCAGCTGATACGCACAGATTTCAATAATTGTGTTTCAATTACTTTCGATAATCGATAATAAAATGGCGTTAATTATGCACAGCTTGATATCTGTTTCAATGCATCGTCGTTTATGATAATGTAAAATTGATTACGATCATATGTTTTATCAATTGATCTCTATATGACAGTTAAAACACATTTTAGATTTAAGAGATCCGTACGTGGATCAAACAGAATACTTTATACGCGCGAATGATGAAACATAATTTATGTAGTCAACGATTATATAAATTCGATTTATATCTTTGTAATAAAATTATACTGTCCATACTGTAATATTGACTTTAAACCGCAAATATTATTCCGCATCCTAAAATTTAATCACATAACAAATTGATTTTGATAAATTAAATTTTCAGAATTCAAATAGATCATGAAAATTTTGCATTTAATTTAATCTAGCTTAATTTCAAATAAATTTTATATGAATAAAATCTTTATTTAACGATCAATTAATATAATAATATATAATGTTTGACAGAGTGCCTTGTTTTAATTTTTATGTTGAGATTTGTCACAAACCAAGGCTTCCATCAAAAAATGTTTTATATAAAAGTTGTAAGATTTCAAGGCGTCCTGTCGTAAGTTTAAGCATTATTCCAGGAACTTTTTAGATTTCGAGGTTTCCATTATTTTTTAAACATTCTGTTTACCAATTATGGTGAATCACCATAATTTTTTCACATGAAATCGATTTCTCGTAATATTTGGCGTAAAAAATTGTTACAGTGGAATAGTAAAAAAATGAATAAATTACGAGATATTTTAAGCTTTATTCTGACACATTTTGACAAAAAATATGAAATATCTTTCAATACATTTATTTTTTATAATCTAACCTTAATAATTTTCTGCATAAAATAATGAGATAAATCAATCAACGCTTTTAATTTATTACAGTTTTTTTTCCATTACTATATTTTGCACAATGAAAAGAAAGTCTTAGTATACAAAATCTAAAAGAGAATTTCTAAAATGAATTTTTTCCGATTTTACGTACCTGCATATCATATACGTATATTTATAAAAAATTCGTAGAATTTAATACGTGGAATTAAATATTGACTTTACTAATAACTGCATAAAAATTCGAATTTACAAAGAATTTAGAGATCAAAGAGAAAACAACCGTTTGAAATGTAAAGCACGTAGGGCAGAGTGTAATGTTACTACACATTCCTCGAATACTACCATGAGAAACGGCAATTGATCTTCAAACCCGCTGCATTTCACCTCGTTAACTGCCATTGCATGCGGACGCATTCGGCTCTAACCAAATTCTGCATGCAACTTCCGTGGAAATCGCGTAGCAAGCGTAGAATTGCGCACGGCCGCTATAGTTACAATGATGATGAAAAGCGCAATAGGAGAGAGACGTCTAGGTCGACGAAATATGTGCAACTTATGCGATCGCAGTGCGATGCACCAGATAAAATGAAGCAAAAATGTTTTGAGACGGATGAACAAAAGCGTAAAAAAATGTTATCAGCAACATCCGCACTTGCATTGAAGTAACTAAACAATCCATTAATATACTTTGCGAGAGTTCAAAGGATCGTTATTAATTATTTTCTTATTAGATTAAGTGACCTGTCAGTCAATATAATATTTATAGTAATTATATTTATTGTACATTCAGATCTGTAAGATCTGTAATATCTGTACGATCTATAAGAAGACGAAATTATTACTATTATTTACAGAGACACAGTATACACGGCATGATGGAGGAAGAGAACGTGGTGCGACCTCATCAGGAAATGGCCACCCTGTCGCTTCAGGAGAAGAAATATCTTCTTGCCGTCGAGCGCGGAGACGTGGCTTCCGTTAGAAGGCGAGTTGAAATTTATGGTTAAACATTTATGAATTCCGTTGATCTTTTTATATCGTTGAAAGCATATAAAGAACGAACGAACGAATATACATTTCTCGTTTAATTTAATATACTTTTAGCAATCATTCAATGTTGACGGATGCACTACGAGATTCTCGTAATGCGTCATTATCCAAATTAATATTTTTTCATCTTTTAAAAGCTTAAAAAAATTATATATAATAAAAAAAAATCTAGAAAAAAGATAAGAGAAAAGTTCTTTTTACTTTAAAATGTAAAGTATTTACTCTTATGTAGAAAACTTATTTATTTCGCTGATAAAGTTTTGTCTTGTTTACGTACACGTGTGTTTGGTAGTACACGTGTATTCTCGACATGCGTATCTTTTCATTTCTTCCTGAATTAAGTATACGATTATCATTCTCGTTATCTTAACTGTGGGATACATGCATATACACGTGCCCATACCGCTAAAGAGAGACAACCGCATCGAGTAAGAAAACTTATCTCGTGCGAACAGAAATCCTGCGAGAAAACTTCTTTCATATAAAAAAAAGAGACTATAGAACTAATGACGATAAACTTTTTCAGCGACGCTATGTTACAAGATTGTTCAAAAACTTTATTTCACTTAAAGAGCCTTTAAAATAAATCTCAGTCCAATTAATAACATTAATTTGATTGTAAGATGTTCTATAAAAATATGTGTGTGACCAACTATACAACGTAGCTGTGTAACTTGTCATCATTTCTGACATTTAGAAATACGTAAAACGTAATAAAACAATTTTTTTTATTCCGTATAGAGTTTTATATAGTGATTGCTAAATTTATTCTTTATTCCATATTTATATTTAATAAATTCTTATTTACAGTTTTAGTGAAATATTTATTCGTTGATTAGCAAAGCATAATTTATTATTGCGTGTATTTTACTATCCTTAAATATACATGAATAAACTTTAGCTAATTGTAGTAAAGAATCTCTTCAATTCGAATCTCTTACGAAATTTGTTCATATAATTTTAAAACTTTCAGGAATTTTCTCTTTATGTTGACGTAATTAGAACTGATTATTAGCTATGATTAACTTATTACTCTTGTGAAATTCCTCGCGTGTAGCTTAGCATGTAATATCGTTACATGATTCTATATATGAGCTACCTTGTGTTTAATTTGAAGGCAGCCGAATCAGCCTGAAAAAGTTTGTTCTTCCAAAATTTCCGCAAAATTATATTGAAAACTTATCTATACATATAAAATGACCTAAAATGATCGAATGTTCTTTTGTTTCTATTATAGATTCTTTGAGTAATTTAAAATAAATATTTTTTAAACATAAATGTCGAGATAAAAATTAAAGATCTTTAGAAACTAAGAAAAAATAAAATAAAATTACATTTTTCAGGATAATTTTAAATAGATTTTAATAAAATTTCAATTTAGTAAAATTTCATTTTAATAAAATTTCAATCGTATTTAAAAAATTAACAGTGTTAAAAATTCATAATCGCGTTTCTAGTTAATAAAATATATTTTTAGATTATTCACACAAAAATTATAAAACATTTAAAAAAAAACATTTAGTTTTTAAAATCTGTAAAAAAGTATTTTTATCTACAAATTTTGAACAATATGATTTATCAATCTTCCGAATACTTTCTTGTCACTGTAAAATCGTACTTGAAAAGTTAAACAGTTAAAAATTAAAATAACCGTGTTTTTAGTTTAAAAATAAAAATATATTTTCAGGTTAGCCAAAGTTGTAGCAAAAAGAACATTCAATTTGTGGAACCCCTGTATATAAAAGTACTTGTACCTACAAACTTTAAACGGCAATTCATCAATCTTCCGAATACTCTCCTGTCACTTTAGAATGCTCCAAAAAGCCCACGAGGCCGACATTAACATCAACTGCGTGGATCCTCTTGGACGATCTGCCCTGCTCATGGCGATCGATAATGAAAATCTGGAGATGGTGGAGCTTTTAATAGAACACAAGGTCGATACCAAAGATGCACTCCTTCACGCTATCTCCGAGGAATTCGTTGAAGCGGTAGAGGTCCTTTTGGAGCATGAAGAAACCCTTCATAGGAACGGCGAGCCACATGTAAGTTTTCATAAAACATGGTCTTTACACGTGAACTTTGATAAAAAATAATTTATCGTAATAGGATTTTTATATTTTTTTATATTTGTTTAAAAATTATTCTTATAAATTAAATTATATTGCTCTGTCTCCTGTTTCTTTTTGCAATTACCTAAAACTAACAATTAGCTAAAATTGGTATTACAATTACAAAGCGCAATTTTCAATTAAATAATATTTTTATAACTTTTTGATACGTGAAATATAATCGTGAAATATATTCTTATTCGCTTTTACGATTCAGCTTTTATGATCCAATTTGAATAATCAGATTGTATCGCTCTCAATGCATTTTAATATAAATGTCGTATACATAAATAAAATATCTACATTCTAAAAATTAATTGGATTGTAAATTGATTACTCTGTGTTGTCTCGGTTGCTCTACAAGTAGTTTTTCTGCACTTTATTCCGCCGTCAATCGGTCTTCCTCTCCCGACCATAAAGACGATTCCACCAAAGCAAATGATTGGAAAGCCGTTTGTGAAAGCAAAGAGGGAAACGAGTAACTCAGGGAAACGGAAACAAATTGCAAAGAAAAGAAGTAAAAGAATGCGAATTTTGAATAGAGCTCTAATCGGCTTTAACAAGAAATCAGCTTAGACAGAACTACGATGGAATGATATCCGAAAACGTCGAACGAATTCATTATATGATGGAAAATTGGTTCCCCGTGAAGAAAAGTCTACCGCCCATGATGATGACTGATTAAGCCGATTACGCTGGTACAATGGCAGCGCGACTTCGCATCAAGAGAAATTATTTCTGCCAGTTGTCTACGTGACACAAAATGTGTTTCTCTCCATTAAGTCATATTACTTTATTATTTCCCTATCAAGATAAAGAATTATTACGATGTTTTGTGTTATTTTACTTCGCTACGATAGATTATTTCAAATACCTATTATTCTCGACTGCATAAAGCATCAGTGCGAATGTTAATAAAGCATCAGTTTGCGAATAATAATAATTTTAGACCAAGGAAACTAGATGAAAAATTACTCCCATAAAGGAAAAAAACTGTCGGGTAATGGACTTTTACGGAAGTAATGACTTGCGATTTAATTCTTTCTTAGAGTTGGGAGGCATTACCTCCTGATACAGCTACGTTTACGCCGGACATTACGCCGCTGATCTTATCGGCCCACAGGGACAACTACGAAATCATAAAGATCCTTCTGGATCGTGGATCCACTCTGCCGATGCCACACGACGTTCGCTGTGGGTAAGATACTTCAAATGTTTATTGACCACTTTCCCGATAAGTAAGAACTATATATGGAATTGAACACAATTCACGGTACAATCGAGGGTAAAAGAATTATTGCTCATGTATAAACAAAAATTATAAACTATATTTTCTTTTACAGAATTTCATATAAAACATTTTTATACATATAATAAAAGATTTGAATTATTATTTTAGTAATACTTACTTTATTGAGAGAGACGCAATTTATAAAATAGAAGATAATCAAGAATATAGAGAAAAAATATATATAAATATAATTGAATATATATAAATATTAAAAAGTTGGATTATATAATTATGTGATATACATATATTATACATACATGTGACATATATTTTTAAAAAAAAGAAGAGAATTTCTCAAAATGACATGGATATTAACTCTCTATGAGTGTTTTAGTATGCGGTCATTGATTTATAATAAGTAAGAGCACTCTTTTTGGGACTTATTAATACCCTCGACCGGTTTACCGCCTTATCCCTTTGTGCGGGCGCGACAAAAGCTAATTAAATTAGGCTAAGCGTACATGAGCGTCACATTACCACCATCGCCACTCTCCAAGAGAAAATTTAATCTGTGTTAATAGCATTATATCATATTAAGCTTCATAAACTTTTTGTCTCGTACTGGAACCGTAGAAAACTATTCGAATTCTCTTCACTGCGATAAGCAGAAGATGAACTTTTTATATCACATTATAATATGTAATTGCACGAAAATATCATGTGTTTATATTTAGAGTATGAAAATAGAGTATATAAATGGCATTTATGGATATAGAGAAGAGATGGTATAGAACTTTACACCTGAAATAGTATATTGAATAACAATATTTTTTTTATAAGTTTAAAAAAGCAGATGACTTTTTACATTCTTTATTTAGAGTAGTACAGCTTTTGTTTGAAAAAAGGCACTTCTCCGCGCTCGAAACTTACGTGAAAAATATTATTTAAAATTGTCTGTCGTATACGTTTCGTGCATAACAAATAAAAAGCGCTTTGAAATAAAAAGTTTGAGATTATAATAACCAACTTCTTCTCAATTCAAACTGGATTTCTTGTCGCGTAACAGTCGAGATGTTGATAAAAAGACTATACAGTTAGTGTCCTGAAAGATGATGTAACGTCATGAGACACGCGATCGTCTGGGGAAATATTCGAGAAATGCTCACACCAAAGGATCTACCAAGCTGTTTTCACTTGGGTTTGTTGTTGCCATTTGTTATTTATGTTAGATGCGACGAATGCGTGACATCGAGAATGGAGGATTCTCTGAGGCATTCGAGGAGCCGAATAAACGCCTATCGGGCGCTGGCATCGCCATCCTTGATAGCACTGTCGTCTAAAGATCCCATCCTGACTGCCTTTGAGCTCTCTTGGGAACTTCGACGACTCTCGTTCTTGGAGCACGAATTCAAGATCGAGTACCAGGTAAAGAATGGACGTTTCCTGCGATTGTTTTTTTTTCGACTAACATAGTTTGTTATATTGGATCGTTGCAACAGATGCAAATAAAAGTTTCAGCTTTATGTGCACGGAATATTTTTAAATAAAATAAATGTCATGTCTGATAAATATTATGCGCTACGACTCCTTCACAAAAAAAAAAAAAAAACGTTTCAGCTTTTGCAAAATGCAAACATTTTGCGATTTTTCAAAGTGCATTAAATTTGCAAAAATATTTGAAATTTTGAAAATATTTTTCTAATTCTATTTTTAATTTGTCTACAGTTTGATCGGAACAAAATTACAAAAATAGCTTTTCATTCTGAAAGACATTACTAAATTCTTTAATTATAGATATTTTATTTTCTCAGAAATTTTCTTTTGAAAATCGTATAAAATGTTAAAATTTTATACGCAATAAATCTTTCAATAAATTTGTCGTTAATTATCACTCGCAGAAAAATGTTAAGAATATTTATTATATTATATTTCTTTTTACTTTTTCTATTAATTGTTGCAACGAAATGTACATATTCATGCAAATATACAATACACGACATATTATTAATTATATAAAATGAACAGATTATCTTGAATTAACAAAAGAAGAAATTATAAATATGTCTAAATTTTCAACATAATTTAAAATCGCATATTATAACTGTGCTTTGCGCGTAATGTTATAAATGTAATGACGAAACAATCACAAATTGTATACTTTTTGAGCGAATTAAGATACAGTCATTATTTCCGTTTCAGTGATGTCTCCTTTTTACAGTAGTGCGGTATCTTATTTCACGGAACAAATTTATTTCGCAGTAAGGCTCTTCGGTACACCAGTTAACACGTGTTTTCTTTAATTTAGCGGTCATGTAGATGTACGTTTACACGGCGTGTTTTTCTTCTCGTTTCTCGAGCTTAAGTGAAGCGCGTTTCACAAGTTCTACACGCTAGCCTATATTTCATCCTCATCTTTCTCTGCACTTAAGTGGCGAAGTTTAAGTGCTCTCCATGCTCAAACTACTTTTGATTTATAAATTGCGTTGTTCAAGTAGCAATACGATTTTCAGTAGCGACATGACGGAAGTATTACTATCAAGTATTTTTATAATTTTCTTCTCATGTTTTTTATTCTTCTCTGCGGCCTTGTCAACATTCTGTTTTTTTCCTTAGCCCTTCTTCAACCTTTTCATCATCAGTCTTGTTTCATCTTTATTTTTCAGTTCACTTACTTTTTCTTTTGAAAGCACCGTTTTTTGTCCCCTCCCCATTCTTGAATCTTTCCTTATCTTTTAAGTGTGTCAATGATAAACAGCTCGATAACGATAAGAAGAAAAATGAATAGGGTTTGATAAATGGCTTCAGCAACCCCTTTCAATTTTTTTCTCATTCAATTCTGTTCTGTATCCCTATATTATTCTTCTGTCCTTAATTTAGAAAAAAAGATAATTTTATTCGTAACTTTTTATTTATCTCTATAACGCATATTAGCTCGATCTGATGTTAATCTTCCAGCGAAATATCATCTATCCCTTTTTGCCTGTCACACAAAAATATTAAGAGAGATACGTGAAATATCGTGCATTGTGTGAGTGACTTCGCGTCTCGCGAGATCACTTCGGTTTACGACATCGTTGAGATTGAAGATTAGCAACTCGATATTGCAGATTGCAATTTGAGGTAACAGTGGTCTTTCCCGCAGATAAACTCTGTGCAACCTCGCAATAACATTATCTACTCGCCTGTTCTTCAGCTTCTATTCTAGTATCATATACGTTGGGTTATAACAAACAACAACCTAAGACAAATTATTCTTTAGCAATTTTTTTAACAACGTCGAATATAGAGAAAAATTACCATATTTCTCATTATATGAAATACTTTTGACAGACAAATTCTCGTCAAGCAATATATATTGCATTTATTTGACGATTAATAAACCGTACGATTTCCTCATACCGTTTTATTAAGTAAAGAAAACTTCCTTCGGAGATTCTTGACTTCGTTCGTCAGATAACAATGCGAGACACATCGCAGAGACTGCTATATCCGTGAGTACGTGACCAGAATTCGATTTGACTCGGGGCAAGATTGGCGAGCGATTAGGATAGGATCCTAATGCTCTCGAATGCTTGTCGACCTTGCAGGAAGCCTGGAAGTTCGATCAGCCGTTGGCTTTGTCAAACGTGAGAATTCCTCCGCAACTTGTAATTTCTGACACGTGAGGCAGCAGCACGGGGCATTTGTCGAATTTTCTTCAGAAATATCTGAATGATATGAGCTCTATGTCTGAAATTCTCGCCAGCAAAATTAGGAGAATTATTTGCAACGACCTTAGAACATTAAATGCTTTGGCGCGTTTTCGAAATTGTATTACGACGTACTTGTAATTTAACTCGACAACACACATGTGATTTTAGGAGCTTCGAAGACAGTGCCAAGATTTTGCGACAGCTCTGCTGGACCACACTAGAAGTTCCTACGAGCTCGAAGTCCTGCTGAATCACGACCCAACGGGACCAGCTTTTGAGCACGGAGAGAGGATGCATCTCAACCGCTTAAAATTAGCCATCAAGCTGAGACAAAAAAAGGTATACGAAAAGGAACCCTGAAGATTCATCTTATCCATTTTTAATTATACCTTATTATAAAAATATATAGAAATAATTTTTTGTTAAATATTTGTGATGATGAAAGGACACAACTTTGAACATATTTTTTTGTGCATACTTAAATCGCAATAATTTCAAATAAAAAATGAGGAAAGACTTTCTACATTTTCAAGCACATGTAAGATTGTCTAGCAATTATATAATCAATTATTCACTCAACTGTGACTTCCGAAATATTGACACAAAGATAATTGAGCTTCAATTAAACCATGCAGCAGAGACCTAAGACGTTCGTTAGTTTAATGTTATAATTACGAACGACAGTTTAGACAGCAATTACAGTTTAAACTCTGATTGCGCGCGTGTTGTCACCTTCCCTTAGTCACGTGACCGGAAGCTGTCGGTCAATATTGCGTTACCTGGATATTTTCAGTTTGTGGCGCATCCTAACGTGCAGCAGCTACTAGCATCGATCTGGTACGAGGGCCTGCCAGGATTTCGAAGGAAGAATATGTTCCTCCAGGCGCTGGAGATCGTTAGGATCGGCGTTCTTTTCCCGTTCTTCAGCGTAGCTTATATCATCGCACCTCACAGCATGGTCGGTCAAACTATGAGGAAGCCATTCATCAAATTCATCTGTAACTCCGCATCATATTTCACTTTTCTATGTAAGTACGTTTTCACAATTAAGTTGTGCAACATAGCTTTATTTAGATAAAATTTGGTTGTATGAGTTGGAATTTTTTATACCGCGTGCAAAGTGCTTACGCAACCGTTGATTCATTAATTATAATTATACCGATGAAGTCAAAGAAGAGCGACCAAAATGAAAAGAAAATATTTTGCTAAAGGATAGAAACAGATGAAACGCTCCGATAATAGATCAGATAATTTCACACTCGGAACAGTTCATGTCGCGCTTTAAATCTAACTAACCACTTGGCACGACATCCTGGCCGTAACCTGCCATTTCCTAGATTGTTCGCCACACTTGATCAACGTGACCCAAATATCCGGTTCATTCCGGAAATATCAGAGTCGTATCGTTGAATCAGCTCGATACCTATCGCCAATTCTTTACAAACATCCCTCTTTATTCTTGGTCCGCTTTACAGCCGAAATAATATTTGATTCCAAAATTGATGCGTGAAATTGTTTCTAATCTCATTCGCGAAATAACTGATTTCCAATCGAAATTGGCTCGAATAATCGTTGCAACGCAATACCTGATTTCGAAATCAATGACGTTACTCGATTTGCGGTGCCGGGGAAGTCAATATTGAAGTCAATATATATTTAATTTATACGATTTCACGTATTAGCTATATCTATCTTGGAACAATCGATTCGAAAATCGAAATATGTGCGCATTCCACTTAATTTGAAAGGATTTATGTTACCGAGATGATTCACGTTACTAAAGCAAATCAAGGCCATATTTTTTAATAGCTCTGTTTTCCTCTGCTGTATTTTGTTAATTTCTGAAACAATCAAATCTTTGCGCGATTACGCTAAATATCTGATAATGAACAAATATGTAATTCCGCCGGGAAATTTTCACGAAGCTAACAAAATATGAATCTTTTACGTGCGGCTAAATTTCTCTTCCATTAAGGGAGGATAAGAGAAATTATTTGATTAAACATAATTTCATTTGGTACGTGTGCACACGAACGAACATACATATATTATTGCGTCGTTGCATATGAAATATCGATTTTACATTAATAATTTTTACACAATTTTCGAGGCAACAAAATAAATGCAATTGATATAATGTTTTTTCGCGTATCTTCAAAAGGAAAACTATTTTAATAATCAAATTGAATACTTAAAACGTCGCTAGTGGTATTTAAAATAGGAACGATATATTAAATTCGACCCAAACTAGCCAAAAAATTATTATTTAATATATCGTTCCTATTTTAATAATCTTTTTTTGATGAGATAGAAAACAAATTTCAAGATAAAAAATCTAAAAGGTATGTGATTTTCAGTTTTATATTTCCAACATTAAATTTTTATTACTAATCTCCATTTATTCACGTTAATATTCTCTTTTTCTAGATGTGTTAAATAGTACTACATAATTGGTTTTACAATATTATATGTAACTGTAGAATTATCTAGTAAAGTTACACGAATTTCTCTAATTTACGATAACTTGAAAAATTGCAAATATTTGGTAAAAATTATAGCATATTTTTATACAAGGACTATGTTATTTTAAATGTACGTAATACGTTTGATTATTAATAGACGTTTATTTTATAAGCTTTTGAAGTTCGATGTTTCATATGTAAAATGACTAAATAATTTCATGTGTTTAACGATATACATATTCAGAATGACTCATAGGACGGAAGTGTTCAAAAAGGGAAGTGATACGCATTGCAAGCTGCGTATTTAACTTTTCGGCACGTTGGTAGATCAAACACTTATGTGGTGAACGTCAAACAGTTACAAATACCTTTCTATGTAGCTACCAATAATAGTGGTGCACTAATGTATGGAATTCGGACGGTTAAGAAGCATTATTGCCCCAAAATTAATTGTTCGTGCAACCGCGAACGATATACATATATATCCTCAGAGTTTGGTTTCCGCTATTCAATACCACTTAATTATATCGCGTGTCTCTCTACCTTATTCGAGAAAATTTTAATACAAAATAGGTTTTAACGAAACTCGAAAATGGATTCATTTTTAGAAAAAATTAAGTCTCATAAAAGAAGCTTCTTCCTTTCTTCTCAGCTCTCCAACTAATCCGCATTAAATATCCGACAATGAGATATTAAATCTCAATCTCGAACCGAAGTCCATTTCGGACTTGAATCAAGAAATCACGATCTATTAATTCTATTGTTTCTGTTCCGTCTCGTCCGTGAAAAGGTTTTGCATTTTTAATAATAACGATCGCGCATAATTTTGCCTGCGCAGTCATGTTAATTCTGGCTAGTCAGCGGATAGAAAGCGTAATCGGTAATTGGATGGGACACGACGTCGACGAAAACGAGCCAACGCCGACGAAACGCGGTGCCGCACCAACGATCGTGGAATGGTAAGGCTCTTTCTTCAATTTCACTTTTATTATTTTTATATCACGTTGTTATCACAGTTTTAAACGAGGCAGGTTGCGTTCTTTAATTTCGGTTCAGAATAATAGAACGTGAGAGAGAGAGAGAGAGAAAGAGAAATTATCATTGAGAGAAATCGTTCACTTCCTGGAGTACAAGCAATTTTTCGTTGCAGTAAGTTGCGAAAATAAAAAAGTATATCCATGAAACGCGAGAATAAGAAGAGTAAAGAAAAGCCAGGTGAAATCCGTTTAATATCTACCGCTTATGACGCTCTCCGTTCGTGCGGAAAACGGTAATATGGAACGTAGAAGCGTTACATGCAGTAAGTCGGTGGTAAACGAGATAAAGCCCCAGAGACACGTGCAATCTCGAGGGATCTTTTCCTCACGGTGACGAGATCGGAATGAGATAATCAAGACCTGTCGTATTGTAAATTTCAGGATTGATTTTCCATTTAATTTGCCACGTTATATTCATACAATATCGCTAACGATGCAAATAATTAATAAATAAAGACGCGGGTAATTACAATGAGTAAAACGAGTGAAGAAACAAGAGAAACGATATTGAGAAACTGAAGAGGTATTAAAAGAAATTCTAAAATCGATTCCGGGCGATACCAATTAAATTAAAAGGCTCGACGTTAAATGAAATAAATTACAGAAATGCGCGGGTTTTTTTTTCTTCTCTCTCGCTCTCCTTTTTCCTCTTTTTCCCTGTTTTTTTTTCTCGGAAAGATTAATAAGATCAAAACGAGGTGACTACAAGAATGTGACGCGTCGCAGGATTATATTGGCCTGGGTGTCGGGGTTGATCTGGTCGGAGGTGAAGCAATTGTGGGACGTGGGCCTGGAAGAATACGTGAACGACATGTGGAATGTGATCGACTTTGTAACGAACTCGCTGTACGTAGCTACAGTCGCGCTCCGAGTGGTAGCTTACTACAGAGTGCAAAAAGAGAACGAGGGTCAGGCACCGGGATCACTGATCGAGCTTCAGCGTGAGCAGTGGGACACTTGGGATCCGATGCTCATCTCCGAGGGCCTCTTCTCCGCCGCTAACATCTTCAGGTAATAAATCGTACAAGCGCTCGGAGAGATTGTGTATCTCTGCTGTCGCCGTAAACTTTCGAACGAAACGATGGCGCGCGGTAAAGTTGACTAAGACAATAAGTTGATCTTTTTTGTTCCGTCTCCTTTAATCAATTTTAGTAATAAAAATGCCAGATTTTTTAATTTTGTAAGACAATAAATAATTAAAAGTTGTGTTTTGCATAATTGTTTTAATATATTTGTGTGTTAGCACGAACATCCTGTTACGGCTCGTCTTTCTCGCTAATTTCAAAATAAATAATATTGTACAATATATTTTGTTTTTAAATTTACTTTAGACGACGCATAATTCTCGCGATACAATTCGACGCGCAGAAGTCTATTTTTACTTTACTTATGCTGTATAATAAAAATGAAAAAATATGTACAGAAATAAAATGCGCATATATTAGGATGTGTTGTGTGTAAAAATAGAAATAGATTTCTACCTGGAATTTTGTCGAAAATTGTAGCCCATGGAAAAATGGACTTTTTCGAGAGGAATTTCGTTCTGATTTCACGATTCTGAAATTTATGTAACTAGCGCGTTGCATTTAAAATGCATTTTGAGGGTGAATAATTACTGCATTGCGCCTGGAATGCGAATGAGTTTGGATTGCATTGGAGAGCCGTGCTGCGTGATATAACGTAAAAATTAAGAAAGTTAAATATAGAATACTACTAATACCGAACAATGTTACGTTGTAGTTCGCTAAAGCTCGTCTACATATTCTCCGTGAATCCTCACCTCGGCCCGCTACAAGTTTCTCTGTCGAGGATGGTTGTGGACATTATGAAATTCTTTTTTCTCTACGTGCTGGTTCTCTTCGCCTTCTCGTGCGGTAAATAAAATAAAGTCGTGATAAGACACAAATCGCGTACAGAAGAAATATTAATATCAAAAAATAATAAAACAACACTTGTCAGGTCTCAATCAACTTCTCTGGTATTACGCCGACATGGAGAAGAAACGATGCCCTACGGCGATGGCGTATCCGGCCAGTACTAATGTTACTACCGACTCCAACGCGTGCATCGTTTGGCGCCGATTCGCAAAGTATGAAACGACAATATTTTTGGATAAATATTTGCATGTAAAAAAATATGTAGAGTTCAAAAAAATTCAATTTCCATGCAAATTCTCCAAGTGCAAAAAAAAAAGATGAGAAAGGATAAAAATCGATATTTTACTCCGGAAATCTTATAGAGTTACGTTACATAAAATATTTCGCATATTTTATAATTGAATTTTTTATTATTATTCGATCTCTCTTCTGTTACATTTTTAAAAATTTATTTCGAATGATATTTAATCTTCGCGACAGTTTGTTTGAGACAATACAAACGCTCTTCTGGGCGGTTTTCGGCTTGGTGGATCTCGAGAGCTTCGAACTGGACGGCATCAAAGTGTTCACCAGGTTCTGGGGCATGTTGATGTTCGGGACTTATTCGGTCATTAACATCGTCGTCCTCCTGAATCTCCTAATCGCCATGATGAATCATTCCTATCAGTTAATCTCGGTAAGTGTATCCCCTCTTCTCTACGAATCTCTTCAACTTTATTTATAACAAGATCTTTGAACGAGTTACAAGAACTTTAGAGAGAAACGTAGAAAATGAGAGAAACTTTAATGAATCGTTAATTTCTCGTCGCGTTAAACAGCGAAAACGATGCTTATTCGACTTTGTAAGAATTAACGAAAACGAACGCGAGATTCTAGGAAATATTAGAAGGATAAAAATACATTTTTGCAAAACATCTTTTTCGCGTTTATAATTAGCCGAAGCTAATTAGCGGAACAATTCGGTGTACTTGTAATTAGGAACGCGCCGACGTCGAGTGGAAATTCGCTAGAAGCAAACTCTGGATCAGCTATTTCGAAGAGGGTGGAACTGTCCCGCCGCCTTTCAACATCATACCTACCCCGAAGAGCGCCTGGTATGTCGTGCAGTGGGTATATCGGAAGTGCTGTGGACACAGCAGGGCGGCCAAGAAGGAACACATGCGCACGATTAGGGTAAAGGATAGTTTACAGAGTTTTCGAATAGTTGGAACAACAGCAGTGACTCCGTTTCTTTTTTTTTTTTTTTTTTTTTTTATAATGAAAATTCTCAGGAGATTCGATCCTCTCGTACGCGAGAACGCTTTTGAACCTGAATCCTTCGTGAAATTCAGAGCGAGTTGTGAAATAAGATGTCAATAGACTATTGCGAGATATTCGGTTCGAAGAGAATATTGAAGGATGTTGAAATATGTATATTTTACCGTATGAAATCTTCTGTGAATTTCTTTCCGAAGCTACGGCTTCATTTTTAGATTTTAAAATTCGGTTCTTAGATGCGAGAGGAGTGGCGAGAATATTTTTAGAGCGGTATTTGGAGTAACCGACGAGAGAAGTTTTCACATTTTTTTTTTAGATTTTTTAGGGGATATTAAATCTAAAACTTTTGTCATTATTAGTTATACAACGCGTTCTGCATATTTATAGATCGGGCTTAGATATATACAGAGTTATCCAGACTCGTCAGACTTTTATCTATCGATTCTTCGCAGGGGTTTAAAGGTAATTTTTAACAAAACATAATAAAGATACGTAACTTTTCAAGTTATAAACGATTAAAGATAAAAGATTCTTCAAACATCATTTTTCTCGAAAATAAAGTCCCGAAATAAAATTTGATTCTACATTTTTTATTTATTTTTGCATAAAAAGTCATCTTCTTTTCGATTGTTCTCTTTGCATAACATTAATATATTATACACCTTTTAATCAAAATCGAAAGTAACTTATAGTGACGTTTGACATTTTTGCTAAAAGAGAAGCTCAAAAATACGCATTTTAGTCAAAGAGTTTAAATAATACAATAGCAGGACAAATCTGGGACACACTATGTAGAGCATAATGTGCACTTTGTAACGAAAACGTCTGACGTTGAAAGGTTTCGATTTCTGATTCTCTTGCCTCAGCGAAAAGTCAAGCAGGCCTCCGAGCGAGACTTTAGGTATCAGAGTATCATGAGAAATTTGGTGAGACGATATGTCACCGTCGAACAACGTAAGGCGGAAAACGAGGGCGTCACCGAGGACGACGTGAACGAGATCAAGCAGGACATTAGCGCATTTCGCTGCGAGCTCATCGAGATACTTAAAAATTCCGGCATGAATACATCTACCGCAGCGAGTAGCGGTACCGGTAAGAAAAAAAAATATATTTTGCATGAGAAGCATCGATTTATTTGCATAGGTAGTATTCTTTTTCGCCGATATAAAAAAAAAGTATACGCGCGCGAGTATCAATTTTGTTTGATAAATGAATTCGTTTTTAGGGGGTAGCAATTTTATTTGGGGCAATTTTATCGCGAGATTTAATTTTGTGCAATTAAATAACGTTTCGATTCTCTATAAATCAAAGCATTGCATTCGACACGGTAACGAACGAATGCGTTGCCGAATTAACGATGGGAATCACAATATAAAGCGACGGTGCAATTTCTGGTAATCCACAGATCGTTAATCGCATGACGCATATATAGAGTCGAAATAACTTTAAATTCAGCCCCGTGGATTCTGTTCACGAATGCCGATCATTATTTTACTCGCGGTAATACTCGCATTAGTCATCCGAACGAGGGTCTTCCTCCTTGTAATTTGTAATTAAAGAAAGCCCCATTAATCATTCAAAGTTTCAGAGCTAATTATCGTAATTAAAGATTTGTCCCTTCGGATATTGCGGCGCTATATATATATATATATATATATATATATATATATATCTGCCAATAGAGCCAAACGCGATGTTGCGAAAAATTGCGAAAATTATTTTTTTCGCTAATTAGAAACTTAGGAATTAATGTCTTATGATTGAGATCTCTAATTTCCGTATTCCCCTTTTAACCCTCGTTGGAAGAGCAATCGGCAAGCGAAAGGTCTCGGGTTTGTTTCCCGATTGAGCCGACTTTCGGACCGATATTTTTCTTGCCTATTTCTTTGCAAGGAAGTTAAAAGAGGAATACGGGAATTAGAGATCTCAATCATAAGATACTATAATTCCTAAGTTCCTAATTGGCGAAAAAATTAATTTTCGCAATTTTTTGCAACAATATTGCGTTTGGCTCTATTGGCCGATATATATATTTATATATATTATGAATTTATTTCGAGAGCCGATAAACATATTCTAAATATAAATAATACCTGTGTTATAATATATTTTTTATCTTTTAATTATTTAATTTAATATTTTATTTACAAAACTAAACAAAATTTATCTTTTATTAATATTAAAACTTCCTTGAAAGTTTTACCTATAGCTGCTTAAAAACTTCATCAAGTTTTAGAAGATATACTATATTTTCTGTTTTTTTTTTTCTATAATATTTATTTATTTAAGTAGCTTTTCATATTTATTGCACTGTTTTATTCTATACATGACATACACATATATACTGCTTTCGTTCGTTTATTCATTGTAAATTCTTGAATTCTCCTTTATTTACATTACGTATTATTGAACATAGCTATCTGTGTAGTTATTTAAGTTTCTTTAAGTTTTCTCGTAGATTGCTTGAGGCTGTTCGTCGATTTTCTGTTTATTCCGTAGACGGTAGCCTTAAAGAGATGTCCGTAGGTGCGGGTGGTAAGAAGAATCGCCAGAAGGAGAGACGTTTGATGAAGGGATTCAACATCGCGCCGCAGCCAGGCGGAAGCGGCACTCTACCGCCCGTGGCCGAGTTCATCGCGTCTCTTCAACAAGCGCAGCAGGAGAACTCTCACCAAGAGCTATTTGGCTCGACTCTAAGCGGTATATTCGGACCGGGCGTGAAGAAGAGCCCGCATCACACCAGCACTAATAGCGTGCCCGGGCTGGTCACCGGGCCGCAACAAAGTCGCGGTATCAGAGGTAGCTCCCGGAAGAAGCGCTGGGGCACTCTAATTGAGGCTGCGAAAGCCGGAAGAGTCTCCAGACTCATCGGTAAGTCGATTACAATATTTTTCGCATTAATTTGTTTCGAATTAATAACAGTTAAGTAGTATACGGAACAATATTCGCATACTTTCTCAGTCATTGAATGATTATGTAATTAGAGTACATATATGATTGAAAATTATATTTGATCAATTAAAGAGTTCGTTTTCTTTTCTCCTTTTTGAGAAATTCTAATTTGTTAATATAAGCAACTTAATTTAGCTTCTTTTTCATATATATATATATAAATTTTAAATATCCTTTCATATAAATGTTGCAGTAGTTGACGAATATTATTAGGAACATTAATTATTTTATCGTGCTCTCTATAGAGAGGAGAAAATAGAAGGATAATAATAGAGGTGGATTTCTAATGAAGCGAACGTTTGAATTTTTTCTCTCTCCAGGTAGATCTCGTTCGGAGGACTCGGTGTATTCGCCGCCGTCCGAGGACGGTGGGTCGCGATCCGAGGGTTCGTCGGACTCGAAATCCTCCTTGGAAGGGGCAAGTCAGGACGTACAAAGTACGCACCACCCTCATCATTCTCATCACGCGCAGCATCATGAGGCTCATCACGTGTTCAGCCACGGGCTTGGCCCGGCTCTGGCCGCTCTGAGGAAGAAGCGCAAGAAGTTCTCGTCCTCGAGATCGTCCACTCCCGCGATGACCAGCAGCACCAACACGAATCCTCCGGATTCGAGCGCGATGCACTCGGTCGCCACCGTCCTGGCGTCCAGAGTCTGCTCCAAGAAGCAGCTGCAACGTGCGAGCAGCGTGCCGACTCGGGGCCCCGAAATAATCCCGCAATCGTCGATAATACCTCGACGGCACGAAGCTACGCAGAGCCAGGAACCCAGCTTCGACGTCATCGAGCCCGCCAATATCAGCGAACAGCAAAGTAAGTCAATATTATTACACAGAACATTATTTCTCAAGAATGTATACGCGGGAATAACGCTGCGGACACTTCAATATTTTTTCAAGCACGTTTTACATGCAGCTTTTTATTGGATTTCATAAATTTATCAAATGTTGAGTCTTCTTTTGAATTAATAAATTTTAATTTCTGATACTTTTTATTTTTGCGACCCGGATTGATTATTTTTCAGATGTCAGCGCAGTACCATTGACACCGTCGACCACGGAGGAGAGCGTGGCGGCGAGCGTCCCGACGTCGAAGTTCACGGCGAAACGAAACGGATCGGCGACGACGCAGCTGCGTCTTCCCGGCATCGAGCCGATTTCCGGCCACGACGTGTCCACCGGCTGGCTCTGAGGAAACCGACGTGTCGCCGGGCTGCGGCGGCCGATCAGCTGACACAGGAAACATCACTCGGAACTCACAGCGGCTTCGAGCTTCGTTTTCAACGGCCATGAGGCTAGAACGACGCCGACGACGATCGCGCTCGCACGCGACACGATCGTCCCGACGTCGGCAGACGCACAATGATGCCTTTCTCGCGACACGACGCGCCAATGCCGATTAAACGTAAGAGCGACATCGGGAATCTCGAAGAGAAACCTATCCTCTCTCTCGTCGACCCACTCTCCTTCCTTCATCCGGATGATGCATCCTTTTGGTACGAGCGCCGCTTCCTTCTGATCATACGATGTTCAATTCATGAGGTAACGAATCAAACGAATTATTATTCTAATTATTCAACAACTTTTATTTGCATATCTTTGTTTATATATATATATATTTATTTATTTATTTTCGCATTCTATACATTTTACTGGCGCGAAGGAGTTTCAACGATTATTTTGATCAACTTTTTTATTTTCTTTCTGATTTTTTAAAACTTTAAACATATTAAATATAGCAGTTGTACATAAAACGTATTTGATGTGCAACATTTGTGGTTGAATTATTCTGAAATTAGTGAGGACCACATGAAATATCATACATTAATATGATCACAGACTATGTGATTTTTTTTCTTTACGCGATCGCGAGATTTCGCGTGACTACTTTAAGCGACGATCGATGGTAAATTATGTATTCTGTGGATTATTACTATTGCTATTACTGCCAGAACGCGGAATACGTGGGTCGGCAACCAATAGCCTAGTCAACACTAGTCAGTCAGAAGATATCATAACGAAAAGGTGAAAAAAAAAACTAATTATATTACATTATTAAGTTAACTTCGAGAGACGACGAATTACATTACGTCAAGCAGAAATAGCGAATAAAATTAAATCGTATCTTCAGAGAGCTGGTCTACTGGAGAACGAAACTCATAGTTTCCTAGCTCCATTCGAGCGATTGTTTCTTCGACAATTTATTTCTTCTGTATATACATCTCACAGAATCACTCTAGTCACCAACTAATTAATACAATCATTGCCAACGGAGGATTTTTATTATTTTTTATTCTACACTAATTTAAAAAACGGCACGTGACTGTGTGCATATGTGTATGTGTGTGTGTGTGTGTGTTCATGTGTACGTATACATGTGTGAATATATTCAAGTGTATGCGTCAAGAGAATTGATTGCAGAATCATTCTTCCGCAAGATGCGCAATAAAAAATTGCGTGAGAAAGAGAAAAAGTTGGATCTCCTTAAGAGTTTCATTTCTACAAAGTTTCAGTCAAAACTTTCAGTATAAGCAGTCGTAATTCTAAGTTTGCCAACAAAGCGATCTTTAATGATCCAATGCGTACTCTCCGTCTACATTTAAGACTAACGAATAGCTACGAAATCTTTCGTTAATCGAAATAGGGTGAAATCGAAATTCGCCCGGAAATTTTTTGCAAAAGAAACGCAGACGAGGCAGGAACAAACGGAACGACCAAAGAAACACACCGTAGTACGTAGTCGAGTAGTGGCCTAAACGAACGGAAGTCCTAGATATTACGTACTACTCTACTTCTTCTAGATATTACAGATGTACGTTATATGTACGTTAATAATTATTATTACTATTGTTAATGTGTTAAACGAATCGCGCGATCAATACCACAGGTAAGTCCTCGAAAAGCGAGTCGCCTTAAGCGCACTGTCCAATCACTCGCTTTGTTTCTCTCTCTCTCTCTATCTCTCTCTCTCTCTCTTTATTCATCATCGATCTTCCCGTGGTCTCGATTAGCGCCAAAAAGAGATATAATCATTATTAAAGAATGCTATATATCTGCCAAGGACGAATCTCAAAACAAATGTTATATTTACGAGTAATTTATGAGTCGCCAGTGAAATAAAAATAAAAATATAAAATGTGTTAATAAATCGACCACAACTGGCAATGTTAAGAAATAAATTGATGTCTGCTAAGAAATAAATTGACACACTTCTACATAATAAAATTCATACTAAAATTCGTCCCACGTTTGTTGGACATTAACGTCGTGATATTAGAAAACGAACCCAGTTTGTTTTCTAATATCACGACGTTAATGTCCAACAAACGTAGGACGAATTTTAGTATGAATTTTATTATGTAGAAGTGTGTCAATTTATTTCTTAGCAGACTTGATAAGGACCTGAACTAAGGTCGAAACGTTGTGTCTGAATTTTGAATAAATAACTAAAGAATAACATTGCCAGTTGTGGTCGGTTTATTAACACATTTTATATTTTTAAATGTTATATTTATTTATTATTATTTTAAATATAGTGTACTTTAAATAATTTTAAATAAAGTATAAAATTTATTAAAAAAAAAAAAAATATATATATATATATATATATATATATATATATATAAAATTTGAATATAAATTAAATGTGACAAAAAAATTTTTAATAAGAAAGAGAGAGAGTTACTTGTGAAGAATTTAAAATTGTCTAACATTGTATGATATAAAAAGTATAAAATAAAAGAATATACTTACATTATTTTATAACAAATGCCCTATTATAAACAGTTCTGAATAGGACACGAAATGACGATTTGGCGCTCTTGGTAGATGTATAGTGATTTAGTCATCCTATCGCCTCTTCTCCCCCCCTACGTGTATTATTTATATATGAAATTATTAATGTAATTATATGAAGCTCTATAGATCTCCAGTTGATGGTAAGTAGCGAGTGTTCGTTGTGAGAAGAAAAGGAGAGATATTTATGAACAACATGTAAGCGGAACCAATTGATTTTAAATAAGTGCGAGATAAAACTCAGAATTATTTGAATAATGCGAAAATTCTGCAAATCCGATCGAATTTTTTTCACGATTGCAAATGTATAAAATTGGAATTCTTCTATCTGCAAACACATACATATACAGCTCCTCCCATGATTTCGCTTGTAAAATCGCACATGCTACGCGAAAGATAATGGAAAACCGTAGTAGAGTGTCGGAAGATCTCTCGAGAAATTCCGGAATCTTGGATGTTTTCCAAAGACAGCGCTCTCATCGCAATTCAAAGTCCGTAGTGAATTATGGGCGCATGAATCATGATGTCGAAGCGAAAAGATAGCAAACGCAATACCTAGCATTGCGCTTGTTATCAATCAGCTCGAATGAACGTATGTTCCTCGAAGCGATATTTCGCAATGTGATTGCAAAAATGATTGAATATAGCGCGAGAATAAGCGAGAATCAAATCGGATAGATTCACACTCAGGATTTAATTTTAATTGCTTTTTCGAAATGTATACATAATATTTTATATACATAATATGAATAAGTTTTATGTCAAATGCAAAAAAGGTATTTTTTTTAATTTTCTTCTACTTGCTGGCAAATATGTCACGAGAGAATAATATGTATATAATATTTATATAATATTAATATATATATATTACGGTTAACCATTTGGCTTCTGCGTGATATTAATTTGTTGCAATGTAATAATAGAGTTTGATTAAATCAATACATTATAAGAGATAAACATATATATATATATATATATATATATATATATATATATATTATCCGATAAAGTAATTACAGACCATATTATAGGATCAATTGAAATTCGATGGGATTAGCAGAGAACAACACCAACACGAAATGACCATTAATAAAATATCATTTATTCTGATAATTCGTTTATTTTGCACCCGACATTTTATAGTGAATATAAAACGCAGTATAATGCTTAATTACACGATTAATTTAAAAACAGGCAGTGCACCGTAATCCGCAGTAATGGGAACCGTAACGTAGTAATGTAACATCGATCTTCTATAAAAGCGTTGATTAATATTAATTCTGGAATGTTCAACGTGAATCATTAGATTGTATAATATTGTTAAAAACGATATTTCAGTCTTGATACACGCCATAATCGATAAAAGAGATTTAATGATCTAAATAATTTAATTTTTTAAAATCAAATTATATTTCTTTACTGTATAGTTGTGAAAAGGTGTCACGAAAATGGGAAAACCTGAAATAATCAAATTGTAAAGACAAGGCACAATGATCCATTCATATTATATGTATATGATTTACGTTTTAAGATTTAAAAGAGATTTACAGAGAGATTTATCTCTTTATAGAATATAATTAAAATTATATCTCTTTCCATATATATAGATTTTCTTCTTTATACTTAATCCTTAAAATATCTATATTCTAAATTAAATGCCATCGAGTGTATGGAGTAGTTTCTTCTTAACTCATAATTCTTCACAAGGTGCGAGCTCGCAGCGATAACGGCGATGCAATTTCTTCGGGCAAGGACGACCGCCATTTGCAGCTTGTCGCTAATTATAAAGAAAAGATATGATTAGACCAGGAGAAAATTATAATATATATTATGGCATTTAAAACTTAATAATAATATAAATATTCATATTTTGTTCACAACAGTAATTTCATAATTTCAGCGAATTTATGTAATTTCGCGGCCGCAATCACCCAAAACTCATTAGTCCATTACCTCGATGACACGATAACTCGTTGCACGACCGACGCCGCAAGTGACACTACAGGGTGACCAATTTGACCAGCGCGTCACCACGCAATCTACAGGAAGGGCGAGAGGTGGTGGATTCAGCGTTTCGCTGGGTACTTGATCTTGGTTTGCGCTCCCGTTAAGGGTCTGGTCGGTAAGAGCAGTTCGTACCTAAACAAGGAACAAGAATTTCACGATGGCATATCTGGGTCTTGCGCTCGTGTTCGTGAAATTTTCGCGCTTACAACGCCACACGTGTTGTTGCACTCGTCCGTGGTTAAGAAATTATTTCGATTTCCGCGACATCCGCCGTACACGAAGGGCGCGCACATCAATTTCCGCGGGTTGAAGGCCCATCTTTGGAAGTAGCCCCTGCACGGGCCAGGATCTGCCTCCTCCATGCACACGACTGTATAAAATGATACAGGAAATGTAACATCTATCATTCCAAATTTAATAATCGCGCTCCTTCAGAGAAACTTCTTCATCTTACATTAAAAAGAAGAATAGTCATAAGATTAATATTTAATTTTAATATGATGAAGAAATAAAAGACACTTTTTCTTCTCCCTCTCTCTCATAAAATATTGATTTCTTTTGATATTTTGTATTTTACCTTTTGCCGTTGCCATATCAAACGTACAGTCCGATTGGACGAGGCAAGGTCGTTGCTGAATCAATTCCACGCGCGAGGAACATTCCGCCTGCAGAGACGGATCGACTATCAGCAATCTGGTCCGCATTTTTACACCCTTTCCGCAGGAAGCGCTACACGGCGACCAGTCAGTCCAGTCGGAAACCTTAAATCATCCGTCATTAGCCGTTATTATTGTTAAATTACAGCAAAAATCCGTCCCGCGACACATGCAGACGAATTTGAACCGCGTACTCTGCAGACAGGATCGAGCTGCTCTTCCGTTCCCGTCTGGCAAGGTGGCTCCATACACTTCTCCTTCTCGACGAGCGACACGAGCGGGCATCGTTTACGGCCACGACGATCGCGGAATCTCCTCGTGCGCATTTTCACCCCTATTCCGCACGTGTTGGAACACTCGGACCATTCGCTCCACTCGGTGGTCTCGCAAACTGGGTCGCTGCTCCGCGAGGAAATCACGTCGTCGTCATTTTCTTCTTCACCTCTGCACAAAAAGGGGATTTCTCAGATTTCTTCTCTTGATTGCGTAGATTTACATAAAAAATTTGTTCGGCGAAATTGCACGGTCGATATCCGTAAACTCGTCGCGTGACTTTCTCATTTTGAGGGAGAATCGTCTCGTCATTTTTTTAATACGCAATTTTTTGTACAGAGGTGGTGATATAAATGTTAATAAATTGGGAATTTACTCACGAACACTCTGCAATAGACGCGACGCACATCTCCTTCGAAACCAGCTGTCTGTTGCAATTGAACATTGCGGCTTTTTCCGGCATTCGGTACGACCTCGTGCGCATCCTTAGACCTTTGCCGCAGGTCACCGAACACGAGGACCACGGCGAGTAATCCGTCGTTTGACACTCGGCTTAAAAATTCAGAACAAGACCAAACTAATTGATACCCTTCAATCACACTTGACGAGTAAACTTAATATATTTTCCTTAATGATTGACGACGTCGTTAAAATATCACGAACAATAATTCTGTGAGAAGAATTAAGTAATTAATTGTCAGATCGCTTTTGAAAAGAATTGGAAAATATTTGAAAAAATATAAAAGATATTTATATACGGCGTAACAATGCATACTTCTCGATGTGTCTTCGGTGTTCTCGGCCACTTCTAATTCAGCCACTTGCTGCTGCAAGAGTTCCTCGCTACACCCGCGCGAGATGATCTTCTCTCGATTTAAGTACAGTCGAGCCAAGGGATGCATCGGTCTGCCAGACGGGTCGTAAAACGGAGATCGCGGGTCTTCCGGATAGAGCGTTGTTATCGGCTTCATCTTCTCGCGTGGTTTCGTCTCGGAATTCGGTGACATGTAACTAATGCCATTGTCGGTGCCGGCATCCCAGGGATAAAGATCGATTATCATGCTCCTTGTCCATGTGCAATCCTTCTGACAAAGATTCAATTTGCTCACTCCTACCACCCAATCGGGAGACGGACCCAGCATGGAGGCCACCGAGAGAAGATTATGTCTTCGGTCCACCCTGAAACGATTTTTTGATTTGCAATATGCTTAGAACAAGATATAACGCATTGACAGTTTTTAATATTTTTTTTTAAATTATTTTTTAGTAGAAATATTCAAAGATTATCCAGTAAATTGTGTTTTAATTTAAATATTTGAATATTTAAAAATATATCAAATTATATATTATCGCGATTATCAACATCGAACAATTTGGAGAGGTCGAAATATTTAGTATAAGAAAATTCATATCAAATAATATATTTTACATGTAGTTACCTAAAACTTGTCGTCGTATTGGTATTGACATTAGGGTACCAAAGACCGGCAGCCTTAATAAGAGTTCTGAGGTGTCTAGATTTATCTCTTAATTCTGCTTCAACGCCCGTCGCAGAGCCCCACTCGGCCAATTGTCGAAAACCATCCGTTGCGATGTGATCTCTGCCCCAGAAGGAGAAATTTGGCTCGTGAGATGCGCCGATCAAGTCGCTGAAATGGGTCAGCCAGGCGGAAAAGGGGAAATCTTTCGGGTGCGTTCTGTTCGACCAGATGCCCTCCATAGTTAGCTGAAAAAGTGTGATTTGACAAGATTCGAATAATTGCGGTCCTCGCCTGTCATCGTAATTTTCGCGAATCGTTTAACAAAAATTAGAGAATATTATTTAGGAACTTAAAACAAATTTATTATCAATATTGGTATTCAAATATTTTTTAAAGGATTTTATATCTTTTATTTATTATTAAAATATGACAATTGCTACGTACCTAAAATTAAATTTAAATTGTCTTTTTTCATCGGGTAAATCTAGTGAATTAAAAATATTTTAATCCAGCAAATTAATATGAAAAAATTATATGTTTTAATTTAAATATCTGACTATTAAAATCATGTTTAATATTTTATCGCTTTTTACAGCACATATTTTTCGTCGAATTCTTCAAAAGATTTGATATCTCACCGAATACTTGGCTTCATCGCAGGCACAACATCTAGTATCATCTGAATTTTCAGATTTTGTGTCTAACTCATGGCTGTTCGATTCGCAAATGATCTTAGAAAGAGCACCATCCTCAGCGTACCATCGTACGTTGTTCTCCAAAATCATCGCAGTAAAGATGACGCATCCGGAACCAGTCGGTGGCGCTCGCCACATCACCTGAATCTATCAAGTAAAAATATTTATCAATTCTCAACATATAAATTGTACAAATTAATACGAATTAGACAGAAGAGTAAATTCATTTCTTTGTAAAAAAAGGAGTCGTACTTCCGATTTCGGATAATCAGTCAATTCGGAGATTGTGTTAATGCAATCCTCGTCAAAGGTAGTCAAGGAATCTGAGAACAGTTGGAAATAACCGACGTTCGCCGAAGGACTACTTGGCGCGTGCTGAGAATGAACTGTCAACGTAAACCGTGTAAATTGTTGCAGTCTCTCGTGCGTCCGCGAGCCTGAAATTCCATAATTTTACATATTTAAAACATTTTTATACTTCATATAATTTAATATAGCTTTTTTCACAAAAACAGCACTTAAGATTTAGTATAATTTTTCATAAGAACAACATTTAAAAATCAAAGCCTAAAAATCTTCGAAATCCTTCGCGATATTGTGTATTCTTTTCGTTTTTCCATTTATCGATCTTTGAAATAATTGTTCAGGGAATCAAACCTTGCAGACTGATTGTATGTATTGCATTGGGAAAGTATTCGTTTGTCTGTCCGCTGATAAGAATTCTGTAACCACCATCGCCTTGAGTCCTATTTGCGGAAGTTTGTCCTACCGTCGGTCGTATAGGACATCCGGCGTGAGTCACGGCAATGAGACATGCCGTGAATAATAAGAATAACATTTTGAAGAATCTAAAACACAAATACATATTAATATATTGCAAGAGTTATATTTGTATTCTTAGTCTACAATAGTAACGTTATATAAAAGCTCTGGTCTCTTTATCATTATTATTAGACGGTTGTGTGATACCAGTTAAAACATCTTCGTGAAATTTGTAATGCGAGAATGACATTCCGACGACTCGTCCTTGAATTCACGCCTCACTTGCTCTGTCAAGAGAATAACTGCAATTGGCGAGAATCGAGCAAATCCCAGCTGATCTCTTAAGTGTCGTCATTGTTGGAATTCGTTTGCAGAGAACGAACGCACGCGTCGTAAAGTCCAAATGAGAGAATTCCGTCGATTCTCTTTCGAGCGCTATTGTTAGATTCGATAGATTGCCGCAGGAATAGCTTGTGCTACATTGGGCCACAAAGTGCGATGAATGATCGCGAACGGATTGCGAATCACGATTTCGAAATTACGAGAACGGCGAACGGAGATTGTAATACGAATGAATCTCGTGATCCGATAATATCGTTGGATTATAAGTGAACAGCAAGAGAATCGGAGTAAAATTTACATTTTTCTCCAATAAAAATTAGATTAACTTTTTTATACTTGAAAATAAAATTGACATTCTCGTACTTGTGGCAATTTTATCCAAGTTAAATCGTTGTTCTTTTTTATAGCTAATCCGCGATCTCTTTCATAGTTTCACGATAATTTAAAAATTAAGATTGTGCGAATTTAATGACATAATATAATAATTATTGCATAGATAATTCGTCGCTAACAAAAACATTTTTTTGCATTGTTTCTTGTAGGAAAAAGAGAATGTTAATTATTGTTTTCCGCGAAATTCTCTCATAAGTCCCAATTTCCGCGAAACAAAAATTAAGATAATCATAATTACACTTTGATATCTTTGCAATCGAGCAACGCTGTATGAACTTTTCTCATTTCTTTTTCGTTCATCTAACGATGGCATGACGTGATTATAAGACCGTGCGCATAAGACCGTGAAATCTTATGATTATCAATGCGATCGCGTGTGAAAGCTTAAACATGTACTTTACGATTCGTCTCAAGATGCACAACCGTTTACAACTTGTTATTACTATAATTAATGAATGGCTTTATGCACTGTGCTAGACAAAACTTTCACAGTACAGAAACATTACCAAGAAAGAAAATCTCACTAGACAGAGATGGAGCTTGAGTTACAAGTTTATATTAATTATTAATTGTTAGAAGGGTACATAAAGATAAATATAAAAAAATTATAAAAAAGAAAATATAATAAATGTAAAAGATAATTATATAAAAAAGTTACATAAAATACACAATTATTCAGATTAAAATATGAATCAAGAAAAAAATTTAATCAATTAACGGTGAATCGAAGAAAAAATGTGCGAATGATGAACGTGATAGTAGAATCGAGAAAGCAATTTTGAACAGGTTTGAAATTTTGAATATGGGCACATGTGGAGACAGGAACGCGTGCCGTACGTCCGCATCCGAGATGTCATTATTTGCATTCGATGCGGTCGAATAGTTGGGAACTGGGTCGAGACTGTTGTCAATCCGCTCCAACCAGCTTTCGAGATCGACGTTCACGGTGGCACGTAGGTAGGTGTATAGGTTTCTAGAACGCTAGTCGGCAAGGCAGAAATGAAACGAGAGGACAGAGGCGGAAATTACAGAATGCGAAAAACGCATCTCGTGCTGCAGCACGTGGCGTGAATTTATTACGCTCCGATAGCTGGGGCAGTTCACCCTATCGTGAAATGCGACATACAGGGTGTGCGAAAAGTATAAAATATACAATTTCTGAATTTCTCTTGAAAAAAAGAATTGAAGATGCACAACACAATAAATGTCGTAAAAAAATCACTGATTAGTTGTCAAAAAAATCGCGAAAGTAAAAAACATGTATCATGTGCGCTCTTAACGTATAATTTCCGCAATAAAATCAATTCCGTATACGAGCTTTGTCTTACTCAGCGATACAGAAATAGACAAGTTTATATGTCAATGACGAATCTGTTTTCCCAAAGAACATTTAACAATCATCACAACCGGTGTTTGTCGCGCGCAGTTTTGCCTTTATTTTATTTTATTTTATTTTATTTTTTTTTATACATACATCTAATCAATGTGGTAATCAATTTTCACTTTTAACCGGTTCACTCCGCGAACGTTTGTGTGTCGAATTAATTAATTGTAAATTTCGCTTCGGTTGGCCCGAAAACTATTGAACCGAGTCGGCGACGCTGTTTCGTGTGTACACACGCGTGAAAACTGATGCATACACGACTCACAGTCGAACTCGTATCCTCAATCGTACCCCTCTTACCATAACTGCGCGCGTGGGTGAATTTACGCGCTCGCAATTAGTGAAATAATTAGATGTTAACAGCTCAATTATTAAATGTGACAAACCGAGTTATATGAGCATATTTTGATCATATCATATTCCATATTTAGCAAACTAATAGAAATGTCAAATTATCTAATTCTAAAATATATATCTATTAATTAACTTATATCGGTATATTTTTGTTTCCTATAAATATTTTATATGTGTATATTATATTATATATTTTTTGCTATATTTCTAACGTATGATAAGATTTTTAAATTACTACATTTAAATTGCTATATTTTTGTAGATGATGATTTGCAAAATGTATTCATTTTATTTGATTATATATTTTGTTTAATGAACTGTATATTTGTTATAAATGGATGTGTGGCAAAATAATCCATACTTTTATTTCTTGCAATATTGTTAGAGCACATTGAAATTTTCTTTGAATTAATGTATAGATTAAATGGTTTGCAATGTGCATCTTCGTACTTCATCGTATTCTATCTTAGCAAACTATAAAAAATAAAAACATGCATACAATTAATTAAAATACTTTTCTCTTTCTTACAGGGAGATTTTATTACGTTTCATCTTTGACAAATTATGTATACCTATTATAAATGTATGTGATCAATTACCAACTTTACAATTTTTATTCTCTATAGTATGCAAACATAGATAAGATCTTCTGAATTATTATATACAGATTACGATTTGCAGAAAGATGCAACAATCTTTTTATCTTCATGACATTCAATCATATCTCTTAAGCAAGTTACATTTATCATAAATCTGCATATATATAATTTTTTTTAAATTGTATTTTTATTTCTTGCAGCAACGATGAAACTTTATATGATATATCAATTCTTGAACAAATTACATTTATTGTAATTACATCTTTACAATTTGATCTTTCTCTTTAATTTGTGCTTTCTTTTTAATTGTATTTTTAATAATAATATTTTTTAAAAATATATATTTAATATATTAGTTTTCTCTCTTTTCTTTGTCTGTCTTTTTTTACTTTTTCAATATTATATATATTTTACCATTATAGCGTTGTTGTGATAACTGATGTAGTTATATTATATTTACATGAGTCACAGTACTCAATTTAGCTACATTTCGTTATTAGAGATAATTATGCGAGCGTACGTGCCATTACTCCGTGACGTCTGTATATTCGTGACTGTCTGTATAATCATCTTGGCCATCTTTCAAATTTAACGAGCCATAATACAAGTAAACATAATAATTTGACAGCTCTCACGATTCTCCCCATAATTCATTATACGGTGCAATTTCGTTGAAATTATTTTCACACATGACTGAATCGGATTGGTTTAATTAATTTATTGTACTTGAATAGGTACGCTTTTGTTCCAATTATCGCATACATTTACTGAAACGGCCGTTCAATGAGCCGTTTAAATTAATCCTTTATTTGCAAAGTTTAAAAGTATCAGCTAGGCAAGCGTCCGGGTGCTATTGTCAACATGACACTGTGAAAATTGCATTCGCAGCTTTAACAGAAATGTGGTTCGCTGACGTTGCGTTTATTAATTCGTACTATTTCGCGGTAGGCGATAATCGATATTGCCCCGTAGCTGTTTTGTTGCCGTCCCGTAAATAATTCCCTTTCATTCTTTCAAACAATAAACTCTACATCGGAGCGTTCGTCAATTAAGCCCGTCACCATCACAATGCTGGATACTTTATCGTGTTACTTCCGGTCCACCTCCGCTTGTTTGTCCGACACGAAGCACATTTGCTCACTTTGTGCGATTAATATACACGCGCGAGAGACACAGGCGGATAATAAATTCTAAAAGGCTTTACATCCATGCTGCCGACAAAGGGAGACCGGAAACTCGCGCGAATTATCGAGCAGATTTTCCGCCGGACATAATTCTATATAGAGTGTGGCGATTACATCGTCACATACATCCCGAAAATTAGGGAGCGAAAACACTTATACGAATACGGTCACACACATGCGAAAAGTACCGAGACACAAATAAATATAAATAAAAACGTAACAGACGAGACAGAGAGAGACGAAAGACGAGAAGCACAGAGACAAATATCGAGACGTTAAGAGACAAAGATCGCATGTGTGAGATATTTTCTCCGACCTTAAGTCTTATCTAAATTACTTTTTAAACTATTAATGACTATTCAATTAGGCGATAGTTTTCGGAGAGAAAACAATTTGAGAAGAAAATTTAAGAAGAAAAAATTATAAAATCTATAATAGATAGAAATATTAAGTCTGTAAAATAAACGAACATAAAATTCTCGAAGCCTCTCGAAGGTCGATTTTTGAGGTGAAAGATACGAGGAGCGATTTTGCGTGCGGGAGATTCGGTTATCAACTGTCACCGCGTACGGATGTACATTGTAATACGAGCGATCTGATATTCATGTACAGACTTTTAAGGACTTTGTTTTCACAGTGAATATACTCTCAGTTACATGTAATTAATGCCTCTCATTATTTTAATTCCTGACACGCATTGTATCGATTAATAATTCCTCCACGGCAGTTAAAAGAGAATAGCAGAATATCGCTGAGCGCAGATACTTTTATCATGCCGTTTAGTTCTTTCACAGAAATCTATCTATGACTTCAGGATGCTTCGCCGAAGGCAAAATCTGATACTTTATGCCTGATTGCTTAACAGCCACTAATGCTATAACAAGCGATAGCTCTCTAAGAATTAATAATTAATTAAGAGATTCTCCGTGGAATTTGATCGCATGTGTGAGATATTTTCTCCGACCTTAAGTCTTATCTAAATTATTTTTTAAACTATTAATAAGTATTCAATTAGACGATAGTTTTCGGAGAGAAAACAATTTGAGAAGAAAATTTAAGAAGAAAAAATTATAAAATCTATAATAGATAGAAATATTAAGTCTGTAAAATAAAATAATATTCAATGAACATTAAGCGCAATAAAATTGTAACATTTTAAAATCTATGACAATAAATTCAAATATTTTATTTGCATGTAAAACATTTCGGAGGCAAGTAGGTCGAATGTATATTAAAAAGATATTAGAGAGGATGCGTCTCGAAGATTTGCAATTCAAATTTCATAATGTTAACCGTATCGAAATTGCAATATGTAATAAATTTCCATAATATTAAAATGATTATTAATCGCGTAGTGCACCGTTAATTATGTCGCGATCGGCCCGAGGCGTCTCGAGAGTCTCATTTGAATTCAATACACGAGAAAGATCAACGTGTTCGCGCGAGCGCTCGACAAGTTAATTACGCAACTGAGCTTCAATAATGGACCGATTAGTCACAGACTCGCTTATGCGACGCGTTGAACATGACCGAAGATCGCGAAGATACTCACCGGAAAATGCACCTGCGAATCTGCTCCCTAGTCAAATCTCGACGGACAGCAACGGACATCGACTGACATATTACACTCGTTCGATATACTCGGTTTCGAGTTAACTGACAACTGGGTCCCGGAGGTTTTATCGAGACTCACGGGGTCAGTTTTAGGTCACTCGATATCGTTTCAGACTCTCGAGATAACGCAGAAACGTTCGTGATAAACACTCATAGTTTGAAGATTATACGTCAAGTTTTCAGTTGAACAATTTCCTACCGCTTTTTCCACACTATATTCCGTCTAGGACTTGACAATCCGAGGAGAAAGTTCAACTTCTTTCAAAGCAAGACTCTTGTCCCAGATTACCGATCGATCTTTATTTCACTTTCCTCATCCTTATTTCGTCTTACAGTTCATAAACTATGTTGGACAAATATAAATATGATTGTATGCGAGAAGTTATGTCAATAGAAGGCAAATTAAATAAAATTGAAGGCAAATAACATTTTTTTCGTCGCGCTGTCTTGAATCAGACGCTTTATACGGGAAAGTTCCGTCAAACTCCAGAACGACATCGCCAAGCTTCTGTACAGGATGTCATTTGAATATCGCGCCTTGGAAACGCTGACATATGCAAGAGGAGAGACACGCATGCGTTGCATTATCGACAAACGCACTTGGCACGGTCAGTCGCGGCCGAGCCGCGCCGCGCGACGAGCTCCGATTTGACGTTTCTCTCCTCGTCGGCTCGTCGAGCAACTCGCCCGTGCGCGAAGCGACGCGCAGCTCGTCATTTTCTCTGATCTCGCGCGACTCTCGACTCGGAAAATGGGAAGGCCGACGTGAAATCATCTCGTCACCGACCTCTGTCGCCGTCTGTCCGTCATCTCGTAGCCCGCGTCATCTCTTCGGAGCGCATTCTCCAAGCGCGCCGGTCCCTCGAGAGAGAGGCACCATCGGAGACTCGACGCTCCTGATTCGGGGCCAAGGACGCTCCCGTCAAATACAACGACGCAAGTGGAAGGCGGCACAGACGGCTGTCAAATCGTGAGAGACCATAGGAAGGAAGGCACGCAAATTCATTCGACCATGGCGAGCCTCGCGAGTAGCTCGTCGTCGGCGGGTCTGACGAGGGCCCCGACGATGTTGGAGCAGCTACTCGAGGAAATCAATTTTCAGAGGACGAAGGAGCTCAGACAGATGCTCAAGGATGGTTTGTATATATATATATATATATATATATATGCAAAACCGAAGCGGGGTGCAGCCGGCGTTTGTTTGTCTCGCTTAGAGGGTTCACCCCCTATGTGTGCGTGCACGCATCGTTGGATTCGGGGCTGAGAATGTGCGCAGAGCGAGTCGGGGGTGTGCTCGGCACGAACAAAGTTGTGTATAGGGGTTTCGCTTTCGATCGAGTTAACTGACCGCCGAAAAGAGGACCGTCTCGCTTGAGGGGTGTTTTGGGGAAACTCTATTGTTTCTGATCTTCTTTTTTGTCCTTTTTTTTTTGGCTGTAGTCTTTCATTATTTTATGAGATCTTATGAACATTTTTGGTATATTAAAAGAAATTTTTTAATATTATTTTGAAATCATTATTGTCTTACTTATACATTTAGTTTTTATAGATTTTAATACTTTTGCAGATACAAAAGGATAGATTCAGATATTAGCTTAAATGTTTTATTATATTTTATTAAAATGTCTTTGGTTTAAAAAATTTATTATATAATGTAAATGAAAATATGTATATAAAATTAGGTTTTATCGATATATACGAAAAATGAAACACACTTTTGTAATGTCGAGAACTGTTCGATGTTATTAATAATTCAGTTCTTTGAATATTTTAATAATGAAACTGCCAATCATTCTATCGTTTGTGTTCATTATTGACAGATTCTCGTTATATAACAATCACTTTAATGAAACATTTCATCAAAAGAAATGTTTATAATATTTATGTATTTATTTTTTTATACCTGTAAAACAATTATCATACACAATAATAATTCAGTGTTATTTATTTTCATCTCATTCTCTTTCATATTAAATAAATAATAATATGTTAATACTCTTTATTTATATACTCTTCTTTATCATTTTACGTTTTGCACCATTTTGCTTTTCGATTTTTACAGCATTTATTATTTATTCTCATTAATCATAAAACATTCTTATAATTTCACTTATAATTCTTTTAAACTCTAGAACGTATTTATCAAAAGAAATAAATTAAGTCATGGCGATTTAAATACATTTATCTATTATTTATCAAAAATTAATTAACAATTATTATAAAATTGTATTTGTTAAAATATTAAAATTCAAGAAAAAGAAATAAAAATTAAAGATGCAGTTAAAAATATATCTTAGCGAGACCTTTTCCATCAATAACCGCCGTCATATATAAGTATCGATTACTTGATATTTCCCGCCTCATTATATCGTGTCTCCTTCTTGCCGATACACCCTTTTGCACGTAATATCAAATCGATTGAGGATAAATTTGATATTAGTTGGCGCCCTTGAAAAATCAACCGCGTTCCGAATTTTGACATTTGATCCACGTCTCTAGACACGTAATTTTTTTTCGTTTTTTTTCAGACTCTGGGTTTGTTGTACTTCAAGGCACAACCTACTGGACGGACCTGTTTGTTCGGCACTTCCTGTTTCAAGCGGAGCACGCTATCGACGGCGACGACCTGCTCTTCTTCGTTCGCAAGAAACATGTGAAGACCTCGTCGAGATATCTGCCCAAATTCGAAACCGAGGTCGACGTATTTCGTAAGGACAGCAAAAAACTGCCGATCGGCGATCCCGACATCGATTGGGAAGAAACCGTGTACCTGAATCTCGTCGTTCATCAGTTCGACTACACGCTCACCTTGGCGATCTGTACGAGAACGAGCCCCAAGGAATTGCAAGTGAGAATCGGCGATGATCGCAAAAACATACAGAATGGTTCAGATGGATTATACCTTCTCTCCAAATTTTTCAATCAAGTTTTACTTTTCAGAATTTGACATAATGCCTTATATCTTTATCATCTCTTTAAATTTGAATAGCATAATGTGTCAAAAATTGTTTTTAAGCATTAATTTTAATAATTGTGCATAGTACACACTTAATATTATATTAAACAAATTTTGACACATTATGCTATTATGCTCAAAGCATAAAGTGCCTATCCCTAAACATAACTTGATTCTTTTCAGGTTTTGCGAAGGCATTCTCAGAAAGTATACGCCAGTCCGAGTCGACGGCGTATGGACGCCAAGGGCGACCTCGAGGAAATGACATACCCGCACATATGCTTCATGGTGGACAATTTCGACGAAGTTTTCTGTGATATTTTAGTCAGGGACGGGGAGATGGTATGCGTGGAACTAGTCGCTTCCGATCGAGAAGGTGCCATCCAGGGTGTCATTTTTCTCGGCTCAATCAGATATGACGCTTTAAAAAAGGTTTACGACGCGAGGGTGAGTCGCTGATAATCCTACGATGATCTCACAAATGCGTCATCAGTTTTTGCATGCATATATAATGATTGTTTTTATTTTTAGTCGAGCCTGAGCACTAAAATGGCGCAGCGAATGACATTCGGCCTCTTCTCCGGCGCGGCCTCGCAAAGAATAGAATTTGTGCGAATGAAGGGACCACGTGGTACGAAAATTTTATTATTTTTTTTTATTTACATTATTTTAACAAATAATCAATCTTTACTTTTGAATAATCCATTCACTTGCGAGTCATTATTTTAATTGTTTCTGTTTTTCTTTCCGAGATTTATGAGTTTTTTGTCTTTTTTATAATAAATCAAGAATTACGAATAATACGACAGAATTTTTGTAAGCAAAAAAAAAAAAGAGAGAAAACAAACCAGAGAAAAAACATTCTTAAAAATATAATTTTATATAAAAGTATCTTGAAAGTCTTTTATTAAGTCTTTTATTAAAAATCTAGAAATTAAAATAAATAGATCAATACGAACAATAAATGTAGGTGTCAACGAGCATGTTTCACCTTTATTATTCAACGCAATGTAGGCGGGAAAGTAGAATATGTCCATATTAGTACAAGAAGATTTAAAAATAGAAAAAAACGCGATACGAGACATTTCAAATTACTGTACAAATATCCATGATCCATTTTAGGTAAAGGGCACGCGGAGATGGCCGTGACGAAACCGAAGGGTTCCGGCGCGGAAACCCCGACGTCCGAGCCGGGTTACTGCGCGACCGATTTGTGGGACGCCGACTGGGACGATGCCGAGGAGCTCTTCATGTATCGCCATCAACGAAGACTGTCCGATCCCAGTGCGAATCTCAACAATTTCGTGCGCGGCGGCTGGAGAACGAAACCGGATACGGTGGCCACGAAGGCGAGATCGGAGAACGAGGGTCTCGATTCCATGGCGAATGGTCTCAACGAGATCGAAGCCGGTGACGTTCGAGATGGTAATTATCCTGAAGGCGCGACACACACAAAAAAGCACCCACCCTCCCAAAAAAGTACACAGATCTTCTCTCTTGCTATACTTACTAGATTTTTAATTTTACACTCTTAGACTTGCGACATTCATATCCCGTATTCAACGCGACGGTTTAATTTTGGATCTTTTTTTTTAATTACAAATAATGTGTTTTTTTTTTTTTTTTTTTTTTACCATGTCAATTGATTGTTAATTTAAGACGTGTATTTATGAGAGCGTTAGATGCGGGATATGGACTTAGCATCTTTCTCTTCTCAATGTATTTCGTTCGCATCCACTCTCGATCTGTGCATGCGCCTGCGTTGTACCTATGTGATGCACAATTGTCTTGATGTTATCGGGCGTGTATAGACGCCCCTCGACAATATATTTCTTCTTGATGCTGGCAACTTTATAGACTCTTGAGCCTGATAAAATTTGAACAATATTTTGAAAGATGTAAATCATAATTAGCTACTAGCGCGATTTAGAAGACGAACGCATGCATACGTTAAAAAGAGTTCACGTTCCACATTCACGTTTACCAATTTTTATTTTCTTTCTTACGTTTAAAGTATATGCACAATTCGGTGCGCCGCATATAATAACGAGATTTTATATTTATTCGAATATATAAAATATCAATAGTCATACTAGACTACTTAGAACGGTATCTGAGTTTTTTATATCTAGATTAGTCGACGTTCAGGATTCGCAATTTCTGAAAATATTAGTATAGCACAGTGTTACGTAAAGACTAAAAAACGACGTGTGAGAAATAGAAATACACCGAGAATAGAACAGATTCAGATTCTCTCTACCTACCACCAACACCAACAACCACCACCACTCTACTACCACCATCTCACCACCACTACCAGCACACACTAAATCTCTCCGGTTCGAAATCGCGTGTATTGAGAAAGCCGACAGAGAAAAAACTAACGAACGAAGAAGTTCTTTCTTGTTGTCTTTAATAATTGACACGTGCCATGCCGGCTCTTTCCTTTGTAGCCGATGTACAGGATAGCAGCTGGGGCGGCCGGGGCTCACCGGGAACTCGCAGGAGTCCCTGCACGCCTCGTCGACGAAGATCGTCTCATCTGTCGCCGATCCGGCAACAGCAACAACAACAACAACAACAACATCATCATCCCGTCCACAACAAGCAACGACAACTTAACGCTCGGGAACGTTCCGGGACGAATGAGAACTCGCCGATACGCAAGGAGGCGATCTATCGCGAGACACACGGTGAGTGTGCTCGTTCGCGCTAAGAAAAAACGATCGGTCTCTCCTCTGTCTCTGCTCTGACCGACGCTCTTGCTTCTTGTCTGACTTGGTAGAAACTCTGTAGCTCCTTTCCGAAGTGTTCTTATGGGAATGAGCTTGATCGAATTATCAATCAATTTATTTCTTCTTCTTTTGTTTGGGGACGTGAAATATATATAGATAGCTGCCTCTTATACATTAATGTTTTCTTCGTAAAGTCGATCTTGTATTTAAAACCTATATTCGAGAAAGCGCGATAAGAGACCGGGGAGCACGATCGTTTGTAGTCGCGACACGGGTGCAATCGCCGTCTAAATGACGACGTGGTTCTCGCGGCAGGTTTCCACCGCAATCACCGTCAGCGCAACAATCATCATCGGCAAAACCACCAGCACCAACACATAGAAGTGGGCAGCGAGATCTTAGTGCCGGCCGGCCGGTGCCTGACGGACGACAACGTCCGGCAGAAGCTAGACTCGGGCGCGATTTTGGTCCACGGCAAGGAGGAACTGCCGCTGGGCTACGACGCGGCGGAGGACAATAACCGGAAACGACGGCCGTACAGCGCCGGCCACCTGTTCAATCATCACAACGGACTGGAGACCGACGACGAGGAGCATCGGCGGCTGAGCGACGACGAGCTCCTGCGGGTAAGACGGAGTCGGTTACGGAGCGTCGGTTCCGATCACGAGGACTACAACGGAACGCCGAACAACAAGAACAAGAACGACGAGATCAGGGACAAAAACGCGAACGCCCATCAGCAAGACGCGACGCGTCCCAACAATGATGTCACGTCCGCGCGCCGCCAGAGCGCCACCCTGCCTCGAAGACGACGTCGAAGGGCGCTCTCGGGCAGCTTCGCGGGTAACCCTCTGCCACCGCATCGTGTCACACCTGATGGAACCGCGATCTACTACTGGTGCGAGCTCCCGCGCCGCCCCGGCTCACAGGGTAAATTCCTTCCTATCTCCTACCCCGGTCACCTGTTTCTCTATCTCAAAAAAAAAAAAAATAAAAAAAAAAAAAAGAATATAACCCTTGTCCTCTATTTCCAACGAAAGCAATCCAGAGATCATCATCTTCATTGTACTGATCCGTTATTCGTGTAATGTAGACGTGTTCAAAGCATGACTGCGATTAATGACTGTGTTTATGGGATGGTGAAATGACAACGGCTGTGAGTCGCGATGGAGGGAGTGGTGGTAGTGGTGGTGATTTGCGAAGAGGGTTGATGACGATCGGAGGTATTTGTTTCGAAAGCAACTTTCGATCGATTATTCTTATAATTCGATTCTCGATCGCGGATATTTCACCACCGATAAATAAGCATAGTCATCGAAAGTAGGTAGACAATTAATCTAGTTCGCTTTATATAAACACAATGTGTCAATTCTATCTCTCATTGCAACGACAGAATTTTCAAGAATACATTAAACGTTGCTGATTTTTCTTATAAAGTAAATAACAAAGCAATTGTGTGAATTTTTTTCTTATACTTTCAGCAAATCTGCGAATTTATATTTCTATGTGTAACTTGCATAAATTGCACACAGTGCGTGAATGAAGTTTATTATTATACATTATCTATTTTTTGAAGTATAAAAGCGAAGATTAAAAGATTTTCTCATATTCCTCGCTCTGTTTGCACTTGCACACGCATCTTTTTACACAAACACACACATACACACGATATGCGTATCATATCGCTTCAAACTCGTTCATTCCATTATGACTCGTAACAACTTCATCAAAATATGACATTTAATTTCATCTTATGCTTGTACCTTATTCTATGTTTCATCGCTCGATTGAATGTTCGTCCTGTGAAAACGACTTCATCGTCCTGTCAATTGAACGATCATCACAGGATATCAAAGATGTATTACAATATAACGTTCGATACGGTATAGTGTTTAATAACTCTCTTTCTTTCAGAGCTGGATGACGGGGCGTATAATCCGCTCTGGACGATGCGAGGTTTTACCCAAACCTTTCATTTCTGGAAAGAGACGAAGAGAGCGCAATCTGTACCTCTAAATGCTTTTTTGACATACATTACATTGCCATGGTGGAGTATAGCCAAAGGTAAAATTTTATAGTATTACAGTAACACATCTTCGCTATTACACATTTATATTGCCCGGTAATTTGTTGACTAAATTATGCCAATTTATGTATATGTAACACATTTTTCCTGTGTGTTTCTACTCATAAACATCCTTTATAAAATTGGCCGATTTAAATTTTCGGAGACACTTTTAATATAAATGCAAATGTATATTATGATATTTAAATTGTTGTATTTAATCGCAATTTTTAATTGCAGATATTTTGGATCACCGGGAAGGACCTATCTTAACGTTCTAGCCAACAATCTAATATCTTATCTAATTTCGACACTTTCCTTTTTTTACTTTGTACGTATACCGTTGTAAGATTGTGGCCCAAAGAATAATATATGATGTATAGTTTAAGTAATAAATGAGAAATATTATTTACACACATATATGCATCAGTTTGACTCCTTTTCGTATGTGCAAATTAGGTGTTTCATTTTGCGATGTATTAAAACAAATTATATTTGCATAATAGTTTATTCGGATAAAAAAACAAAAATAATATTAAAATAAGAAAAATAATATTAAAATCAAACTACGAGTTTTTTCATATATCGAAAATAAAATTTAAATATTTCTTTTTTCTTTGCATGCGATCTTTGAGGATCGTCAAAATTAAAAATTTTAACGTGAGATTTAAGTTTATTAAACATATGCGTTTAATTACAGTAATAAATTAAGTATTGGCGAAATAATAGTCACGCGAAATACTCGCAATATTTCGAAAAGCTGTTTTCTTTTCCGCCTTGATTGAATTTTGCGGCCAAATTAAAAATCACACATCCGATAGCCATAAATGAACAAGAGAGAAAATTCATTCTTCTCATTATTTAAAGACGCGTCGTGTCACTTACAATTGTTCAATAGTAATTTAAGAAATATGCAGTAATAGTCCACAATTAAATACTCGTTCAACAATTTTCTAAATTTTTTTCTAAATACATTAGAATCGTGCGCTACTATAAAATAACATTAACAAGTTGAGCAATAATATAATTTTAAAAATCTATATGCAACTGTTATATAAAAAAATAATGTTCTATAATGAAATATTATCATTATCATTATCATTATAATGATGTTATATACTATATCTGAGACATATATTTCTTTATTCAATACATATATAAAAAAATCCATATTTTTATAATTTTATAATTTTTGTGACTATAATAATATTTCTTAAATAAAAAATCTAAACTACAATAATTAGGTAACATTTCAAGTGTAATTCTTGTAATGATATATTATCTAGCAGAAACAAAATTTATTATAATCAATCATGAGACTGTAGCACTCATCATAACATTATTAATATAATCTCCAAAATTATTCCAAGTATGATCCCATAGATTAGGATCGCCTTTACTATCCCACGGAAGATTTCCGGGCAAAAGCGCGGTGTGGTTCAATTTCTTCAGTTCATCCTGTAGCTTTCTAACGATCGTGGGGAACCTTTGACGACACGCAAAACAAAATGTAAAGTGAAATAAAATTTTATAATTTACATTGTATTTTAGCGAAGTAATATTTTACTCACTGCTTGACAAGATTATTATCCTCGCAAGGATCCTGATAGATGTTGAAGAGACATGGCTCTTCTAGCGGTTTGCAGATCGGCAGACTGTCGTTTCTTGGCGGGCACTTAATCATCGCGTTTTCACGCAACATCCCGATAATTTCCGTGGTAACACTTAATCCCACACTGGAGACAGCGTGTGCCGCCGTGCTGCTAATTACACCACTTGCATTGTAGATCCATTCCCTGCCGGATGGACCGTACCATCCGTCCCATTCTCCGTTATAAGTGGACCCTACGAGAAATCAAACTGAATCGGATAAACGTACGGTATTTATTACGTTCTAAAATAAATAAAAGAAAAGAAAAATTAATTAAAAAATATTTGCAGTATATCAAAGTTGAAAGTTTCTTTAAATTCACCTACCCTGAATGAGCTTCCAATCGCCGACCGTAATAGCGGACACGCCGTAAATATCGTCGATGTTGTGCAGAATATTTGTTCGAGGCGATTCGGTGTCCTCGCTAAGTGCATTCCACAAATCCATACCGTCGATCGAAGTTAAATTGAACGCATTGCCACCTGCAGCAGTTATAAGTGTCGGCAGCCAATCAGTAATATGCATCATCTGTCTGCTCACTCGGCCAGGACGCACTAATCTGGGTGACCATATTAATCCTGTACCCCTGATGCCACCTGAGATTTGATCGTAAATTAAAAAATAATATTTATTTATAGACATTACATTACATTAAACTAGACAACACAAGCGCGCGCTTTGCGCGCTCCTTTGATATCAGTTCTATTATTTATTTTACAACTATCAAATTGTTAATCTTTGAAATAATATTTTTTCTCATTTTGTTTAATTTAATCGGATATAATTACTTGCGCAAAGCAAAGTTATATTATTTCTTGATAATAAAATCTTAAAAATTGCAACGCGTATATAAAATTATTATTGCAATGCATGCATAGAAATATATTTATTAATTACGTGATTCATAAAAATTCAATATATAAATTTTTAACAGAAAACAAAAAATAATTTTCTAAAAAAATCTTTCGATCAAAATAACTGCGCTTCCATTAGATTCGCGCGTCTGTACGCGTCCGCTACGCTGTGTATGTGCACTCTCTTTCTATTTTTTCCATCAGATTAATACATCCCATACGTCTGTCACGCTGCGCGGTTCGCACGAGACTGATTCTCGTATGGGGTACTGCGAGCGCGCGACCGACGGTCACATGACCAGCGGTCACATGACCAGCGAGTCGACTGGTCACGTGATCTCGGCTCGCGCCAATTCGCGCTCGCGATATCTCGCACGAGAATTAGTTTCGCGCGAGCCGCGCAGCGTGACGGACGTATGGGGTATAGTCTCGCACGAGTCTAATATTATCTAACATATAGTCACACATAATAGTATCATACTCGAATAAGATTACCTTCCCAAAGAGTATTTTTGACGCCTCTCAGCGGCCAATTAGACGCTGCGTTCAAATTAAATCCAGCGGCTGGTCCACCGTTGTCCGTCGAAAAAACGATTACACTATCTCGTAACATGTTGTTCTTAAGCAGAGCCTCAACTACTTGACCTACCGAGTCATCCAGTTTACTCAGCATACCTGTATTAGAATTTCAAAGTTATTAGTCTGATGGTCTTTTTGTTAATAATTTGTAATTCCTCTATATATTTCTTAATAATCGATATTTCAATTAATTATGTCATATTTTTTTACGATAAAGAGTCAATATTATTTATATTTTTATTTTAATTTTGTTCAATTGCTCCCACTCTTGCTAAATTTTACCTGCGAAAAGTCTTCTATTATAATCGAAGATATTATTGAATTTAGCGACTTCTTCGTCCGGAGCTGGAAGCGGATTATACGGGTTTCCAGAGTGCACAGCCGCATGAGCAAGATACAAGAACATCGGCTGACTAGAATTGTGATTGTCGATCAATCTCACTGCTTCCTTCGTAAAAATGTCCGTGGAATATTCACCGTGAAGATCCCATGCCGGTTCCATACCCCGTCTCATATCCAAGCCCCAATAAGGCTACACAAAATTTTCAGATCATATACACTGTCTATAGTATCTTTCATTTATGTAGCGGTTAAATAATTTTTTGTATAATGCTTTTAATATAATATAATATACATTTTTGGAAGAAAAATTAATTGCAAAACTGAACATATTATTTTAAGTGTTTTAAACTTAAAAAATTTTTTTTAATTTTATTCTTTCCAAATTTTTGAAAGCTAATATTTTCACATTTTTTTCTACATTTTCTATATTTATTTAATATTCTTTCTATTTAATGTTTTCATATTACGCAATAAAAGAGCATTTTGTGTTGAAGCGGAATAAAAACGTCAAAATTATGGAAATATCTTAATGTTAATCTTAGATATTATTCTTATTAGATTGAATCAAGTACTATTTGTATCTATTTATATGTTCTCTCACATTTTCAACGGCTGTGTGATCGAAATAATCTTGATGACCTGTCCAAAATCCAGTATGGGTGTCGAATCCTCTATAAGTCGGAGTGTACTCCTTTTTGTAAAATCCTAAGTGCCATTTGCCGACGATATGCGTGCTATAGCCGAGATCTCGCAGATATTCCGGCAGAATCTTCTCATGAAGTGGCAATCCCCTAGGCTCAGCCCCTTTGAGAACCTAAATTTATGAATCCCCAGTGTCATAAACTATAGTAAATATTTATTTTATTTTTCGATCAAAATTATTAACTTTATTACTACCTTATTAATTAAATTATCATTATAATATTTCATCTCGTGTTTTAAAAGTTTATAAAATTTTTAAACGATAAAAAAAGATATTATTTGATATCTTAATACGAGTCAAAAAATTGCGAAAAAGAACATTTTTATTAAATGCTTTAATTATGTAAAAGAAAGATGCATTGAGACTCTGATCGTCTAAGATATGCTCAAACATGCGATCTTTTGTTTGCTTTATATATACGTTTGCGCACATATAGTGTACACGAATAAGCTGACAATGTCTCTCTCTTTCTCTGTATCACTATAGATATGATAATTTCCAATTGAACTGAATCCAGGTCAACGCGACAGAAGTGCATAATATTCCCTTTTGTACGCTACTGCAAATATAACAACAACAACGTTTCCGCCAACTGATAGCTCTCAATTGCAGGTCGTTGACAGGTGTAAAAACAGAAGAAATCATTCATCGACTTCGTTCAATTATGATAATTTTTATAAATAATATTTAAAAGACAAACGGATTAAATTTTGGTCACGTTAAATAATTTAAAATTATATTTATAATTTAATATAAAATATTATGCGTTAAATAATTTTATTTTAGAACTGTCACTCGTTTGTTATTCATATACGTGGACATTCGTTCATGCGTCTTCCCTTCTCATTAATTAAAAAAACGCTTAACATAGTAAGCCATAGCACTTACGCCATGTTGCATTCCGGTGTGGATAGGATATTTGCCGGTCATAAAAGCGCTTCTGGATGGTGTACAGATCGGTGTGACATAATATCTGTCGAGCAGCAATCCGGAGTATGCCAGAGCATCGATATTCGGAGTTGGGATCTGACCGGAACCATGAAACCCGACATCATTCCATCCCTGATAAGAATAAAAATAAATCTAAATGCAACCTTTTTCTCTCTCTTTCTCTCGCTTTCTCTCTCGACAGAATCTTAAAATAATTTTTTTAAATTTTGAATTAACGTTCTTCATATCTTATAACGTGATACTCGACAAGTTTTAATACTTTAACAAAAGTAAAAAACATTACAGAATAAAATATTCCTTTGCATATAAACTCACGCTATTAAGTAAATATACTTGATTATTTAATTTTATCTAATGTCAAACGCGTCAACATCAGATTTTTTTATTCTTTAGTCTTTATCCAGAGTTCTTTTTATCTTTAAAAATGATTCACGTCTTATCTTAACTTAACATTTTTACTCGATACTTTTTTTCTTCGAGCTCTTTTGGCCGGACATAATTTATCGCAAACCTGGAAGGAGACAACTTGCCAAATCGTCTGCCATAATAAAAATGATATGGGGCTGCCTCGAAGTCGCGTGAGCCGCGGCGAGCAGCAGGATCAAGGACGATGTCCATTGCAAAGGACGACACATCGCGTTCCTCGATCCTTTTGGACCAGCCTGCATGGTTCTCTCCACGAAAGAATACAGAACGGACTCTTTTTGGACGCGTACGCGACGGCCAGTTGCGGCAAACTGATCTCTCTTCCGAGACGCCTTTCTTCCGCGGGATGATGCAGATAGCGGAACGCTCCTCCCATCTCGAAGTCAGCTTCGTTCGTCTCGCGTTCGCCACGACGCGCGACGGTCGTCTCCTTATCCGCGATCATTAATTCATTCAACCGCCTGCTAAGTGGTCGCGTTATCTACGAATTAAAATTGTATATTGCATGGTACCGCGTGATACGTCGCGCTTTGAACTTTTCTACGCAAACTCCGCAATCAGCTCGTCCCCGAGATGCGTTATTTGTCACGAGAGATTCCCATCTTGTGCAGATTCTTTGATGCACTAGCAAAGCGCACTCAGCTTATTGCTGTATAATCATTTGAAAAAGCAATAAAATATTTTTACAAATTAAATTATTTTGTGCTTAAGAAAAATTAGATCGCGTTTCCGGCTGCTAAAAAATATTTCTTTTTTATTTTAAATGTACGTCACAAACACATACATATATTTTATGGGTGATGGTACCATTAATTCCGGCAAGATATTATCTCGCTTTACATGTTCATTTAGAAAGCGTAACATTGTGTGCAATTATTTCTCCACTAAAATATGTCATATACATTATCTTTCTTCATCAGAAACAGACGAAAATACTAAAGTACGACAATATACGCGAATCGCGTTTGTCATCACATTATCACGCAGTTACTATGAAAATAATGGAACAACTACATTAGTCTAAAAAAGAAAAAAATATATATATGTATAATAGTCATTTCTTTCTTTTTTAGACTAATGTATTAATATTTTAAAATTATTATTACTTAAACATAAAAGATATTAATAAAACTGAATAATAATAATTTCATGATTGCCTCTAATAATATTAAACAAGCAATATTATTGCAAAATATATAAGTTTTTTATTATAAGAGAAGAAAAATCGAAAAATGAAGCTAACACTTATTCAAAAATAGTATAAAATCCTTTTATATAGTAAATAAATAGTACACACATGCAGGAAATAAAAAGTTATTCATAATTAGAATAATTATTATAAAAATAGTAATTTATAAAAAAGAAAAAATGTGCAATATATATTATTATGCAACGAATGCAGAACAAAACAGTGCATAGCGAGCGAAGTCAAATACCTTTCAGTCTGTTCCGTCGTGTTATAGACTCTATTGTCGATGGTTAACCCGCTTATTACACCGACATATTCATTTATCGTATCACGTCGTATACGTCAAATATATCGTCAAAGAAGAATGTTAGTGCATATACATATATTTCTTCCGACATTATAATACCTTTTTTTTGTAATCTGTAGCTTGTCACACAATCCAGATCTTTCTACCCAAATGGACAAAAGTATAAAAGCATGTTATAAAAATTAGAATGTGACACATACATATATGCGCGCTTATCTGAATACAGTCAATTAATTATGCTGAAAAGTACGATCGTAAGACACGCCTGACATTCGGTCATTTTTCAACGAAACAGCAATGTTAACAGACCTTCTCTCTGTAAAGATTTTATTCTAAAGAATTTAACCTGCATAATTATAGAACAACATTTTCGAAAGTATGTCGAATGTGTCTCTTTGTGTTTTCTTCTCGTTGTTAATCGTGAGCGTATTTTCTGTTGCTTTTTATGATAATATTACATTGTCGGAGACACGGTTTTATGAAGACATAATCTTCCCAACGGTAAGTTTCCGAAAATATATATGTATTTAACATAAAAATGTAATTATCATAAAAACGATTTTACTTATAGGCACATGTTTATTTTACTTTATATTATAATAAATTACATTTATATATAGCATTATTATTTTAAACAGTTATGTTGCTTTTACTTGTAAGTAGTTTTATAGTAAACAATTTTAAAATATTCTATTATTGTATAAGTAGTCCATTATTATTTACCACAGATTTAAGAATGAGATAGATATCATGATTAATTGAATAATATTACTCATTTCCTCTGTAACGGACTTATATTAACGTTATAGGTATCGATTTTAGAAAAGTGTCGACCAAAGGAGCCCGAATTAACTTTAGTGTTAGGCGGAGATTATAATGACTTTCTTAGACAAATGTTTTTCAATATGACACCGGTAGCGCTGATAAATGAAACGGATTCTCGATTTGATGCCCTCGAGAAATTTGCCATGACAAGATACTCCTATCTAATGTTACAAAGTTACAATTTCGTTCATTTTCTTCGAAAGGCGCATCGTTTTGTGGTAGTAGCATCTTCTCAACCTATCCTGCGATCTCTATTACAGGTACCTAAATAATAATAAAACAACATAATATACATATATAATAACTTAATTTTTAAAAATCTATACCGTATAAATACACCGTATAAAAACATACTGATGATACAAACGGAAAGAAGTTAATTCTATATAAAAATTAAGTCCAAAATATATAGAGAGAATAAACGTTTCTACACAAATTTCCAAAATGAACAACTTTGAATATTCATCAGATACGTATAATTAACTATGACTGGGTCTCAGCAGTTTATTATAATGATTTATTATATTATATATTATCTCTACATGCATTTGTATTTACAAAATTGCCAACTGCAAGATTTCTTTTATATCGGTTCTAGTAGCTTATCTTTGTCGACAACAACTTATTGTTCTCCTTTTTCATATCTTTATTTCTAACATTAAGTACTTTAGCAATTAAATATTAATATTTCTTAGCAATGTAATGGAAATGACTTATTATTTATCACACACATCCTGCTTATGTACATTATAGAAATCCGGTGAATTAAAATTATGCACATAATAGAAATTCGGGAATTAAAATTATGTGTCAATAATTCTTTGTCTCGCCAGTAAATAATAAATAAATAAACAAATCTTCGCGACCCAACTGGCATAAAAATATCTTTATTGTTGCTAAGACATGTTATTAAAAACAATTTTAATTGGACAGCCTTTAATATTCTACATCAAGAAAAACATATGAAGAAAAGAGAGATTGCGGAAATGTTTTATATTAAAAAATTTAATAACACGATTAACCTACACAAAGAGACACTGAGAGTTTGAATCCTTATTTATGATAGAGTAATAAAGGCTGTTTAGTTTAGTTATTGTTTTACCATCTAGTTGAAAGGTTGACACATGATATTATATTTGCGTTTGTTACGTGTATTTCCAAATAGTTAAATTTAATTTTCATATCAGGTATGTTTAAATTATTAAAGTATTAATGTATTTTTAATCTTAAATTGTGTTTATGCTTATTGTTTAAATAACTATTTTATTAAAATTGTTGTTCCATGATTAAATAATTCTTAAATAATGTATATTTTTTGTAGACTTGATAAGGATCCAAAAAAAGGGTCGAAACGTTGTCTTGTTTTTAATAACATGTCTTAGCAACAATAAAGATATTTTTATGCCAGTTGGGTCGTGAAGATTTGTTTATTTAAAATTATGTGCATAATAGAAATTCGGTGAATCGTTTCTAGTTACTAACTTATTAAAAAATAAAAAAGCGCGTTCAAAAATGTAGGGAATCGTGAATAGAATTATTTTCAGTTCGATAAAAAGCTGACAAAATACAAATTATCATTATCATAACCATATAAGTTCGATCTGCTGGAGTCGATTATTTATACTTATACTCGAAAAGAATCATCAATACACGCGATGCATATTAACTCGAAAACGCATAGCTCTCGCATCTAAATGACTTGTTTTATATAGGATATATAAAATCATAACTTTATCATATTATTTTTATTTCTGTAGAGAATAAAGGACTCGCCATGGGCAAATTCAGAGGGATTTTATATCCTGGTCGACAGGCAGACTGAGACTCGAGGTTGTATAAATGCTCATCCGTATCTCTGGACAGCTTGGCAATATGACATGCTCTCGGTCATATTTATATGCCTAGATCCGGATGATAATACTGTTCTTTACACATATAATCCATACTCGAACAGCACGCCAGATAACTGGTACGAAGTAGGATACGTCGACGGACGAGAGGGTCATCCTTGGATAATATTGAAGAGGAAATTCATAAACAGTATATATATTTTTCTCTCATCTCTTTTTTTATCCAAGTAAACATATAATTAACGCGTGAATTGATTTTCAATTGTCTTAATATCAAAAAATTTAATTTGAGTGTCTTCTCTGTTATTATATATTTATTAATATATAATATTTAATAATTATTATATATTATTATATATTTAATATCAATATATATATATATAATATTAAATAATTATTATATATTTATTAATATTAATATATAAATATTTTATAAAATATCACTCACAACAATAAAAGAAGTATTCTCTTTTTTAAAGTTACAGTAATATATATTACTAATAAAACATATTATTAATTATGCGTGAGCCTTAAAAAAATATATCAAAATGTGAATCAAATTATAATCAACATAATATTTTAGATGACGATATATGTATAAATCTGGATTTTGATAAAACGATTACTCTGAACAATTACGAGCTTCGACTAAATGTGATTGAAATGGAACCGTTTGTCAAAGTTAATTTGAGTTTACCTGACAAGAAGAAATTTCGCGGCGACAACAGTGAGATCATCCAAATACTCTTGTATAAGCTAAAGGCCAATCTCATGGTTTACATTTCAAATGACACTCCCGATCAGCTGGGCGATATAGGATCGAACGGTACTTTTGAAGGTTTGCTGGCCCCTGTGAGCGATGGTAGAATAGACGTAGCTATGAATGCAAGAGCTTTGGTTTCATTGTGGAAAATCAGGTACGTCTCGATTTATTTTCTAAAAAAATTTCTATCAATTCTTTAAGAAAATTCCTCGAAGATTTAAAGATGTACCTAGATTCTTATCAACTGTATTTACATTCAAAGAATTTGTCTCTATAGAATAATTAAAAAAGAAATAGATGTGATACTAATATTTTTACAAAAAAATATTTGCTGGATCTTATCTCTTATTATATTGTTTATCAGAAATCTTTATACGAAATTATATAAAAACTAAATGTTAAAATATGAATAATAAATTTAATTAAAGGGAGGAGGGAAAAAAAAGAAAAACCGAAATTAACCGAAATTAGAAAGAATAATACTTAATTTATTTTCAGACATACATACCCTCATACGAGATCAGGCCTCTGCGTGATTGCGCAAGCAAAGAATGAGCTCTCCGAGTTCATGAAGATAATAATGTTTCTGTCACCGGAAGTAATGGCGGGATTAATCACGATATGTCTACTCACTTATGCAATTTTTACGCGAATCGTGGGATATATAAAAGCCGGACTAGAAGTGATAAGACTCATAAGCTGCGTAGGATTTTTACATTTGCCGAAAGTCGATTCCACCAGAATCTTCATATGCATGGTGTTTATTTTGTTCATAAACATAAATGCTATTTTCGAAAGTCACTTGTCATCCTTGCTCACCTTACCGGTTTATCATCGTAATATCGACAGCATAGAAAGTCTCAAGGTAATAAAATCTCATTTATTCCCTTTAGTTTCATATCGTTTCGCTTTAATAAATATGTATGTAAAATTAATAAATATGTATAATGTCTTCACTCTTATTTTAATGAATATGCAGATTATTTTTAAGCAATTAAAAATACAAAAAAATTATTTATTTAGTTGTCTTATTTAAAAGTTGAGATTATATGTATACGTATTAGTTTTTTGTAGAACATAACGTTATAAAAGAAATTACAGAGTCAATTTTATTTCTTTTTTAATTTTATATTCCTGATGTGTGATGGCAAAAATTATTGAAACGAATTTAATTAAGCGGACTAATTAAAAATGAAATTCAAGACCGTGAAATTAATGATACTTTAATAAGTGACAAACGTTAATTTAGTTTCTTTTTTTTTTTAGGATGCTGGTTACACTTTATACGGACCATCGTTCTTCAACAACACGCTTGGCGATCCCGTGCTTCAATCGCGCTACAGGATCGCCTCGTACGATGATTGTAAGGAGCATGTCGAAAATTCGTCGACCGCCGTATGCGTCGGCGACTGCTACCACTTGTATTACAGAATCAAAGGTCAAAAAAATCTCATTAAATCAAGAATGCTGCGTGAGATGATACAATCGTACGTCACCCGCGAAGATTGGCCGCTGTATCAACGGCTGAACGATATTATACAACAGATGATGCAGGCCGGTTTGATCAAGAAATCTCGAGACGAAGTTCTCTCGGGGATACAGCGCCAGAGAAAGAGAACAACCGCTTTATACAGGAAAGGTTTCCATGTGATGTTACTGAAGCAGCTGGCGTTCAGTTTTTATTTCCTTGTATTTGGATACGCTGTCGCAATTGTAATCTTCGCGCTGGAGATGATAATCGGTGGCTCTGTTCCCATATGTCAAAATTGGAAAGCGATCGAGCAGAGAAAAAAGAACACGGAAAAGATGAGAGGAAAAGCTGTAATGAACAGTAAACTCTCGATATCAACTTGGCGTTAAAAATATCAATTTAGTAGATGAACGAGAGATTCTTCAGTGAAGAAATAAATTGTCTGAATATTTTATTAATATTACATCGATAGAGAACGAAAATCGAGAACGATCTACGTCGAATGAAGTTTAATTCCAAATCTCTCACATGTCAAAAGAATTGGCAAAATGTTTATATCGAAATAGGGGATGAAGAAGAAAATCAGATTTGCTGTTTATTTATGTCGATTACACGATACACATTGAAGCAAATTGCAGAAAATAGGAAAGAAGGAAATAGAATAGATGGAGGAATGTGAGCAAGGTATGAATCGCAAGTACTCTCCTTAATTTGGTCAATATTTTATTTTATTCCTTCATTTTAGTTTAAACAATTTGTTCATTCGGGAGATTCCCCGTAAAATGAATATGATATAGTAAATATGTTCCTTTTTACAATTTATACCATATACACAAATGATAATATATAATAATAATAATAATAATATAATAATAATAATAATTAAGAATCCTAAACATAATAATATAATAATCAAAATAATAATAATTAGAATATAATAGTAATAATGCTAATCTATAAGGCGCAAACATAAACAAAAATATAGGGTACACGTTATAGTGAAACCGTCCCCATTAAACGACGGTATTTGTGCTACTGTATGTACGCATTTACAGACCGCTTAATCAACCGCTTATACGTCATTTCATCAACATCCCTCGTCTCTCTCTCTCTCTCTCTCTCTCTCTCGCACTTCATTTTAATTTATTTTATTTTTAGTAAAAGGCGCTCTCGCTCCCACTTTCTCCTCAATCCGTTTATAAGCTGAGATTACTATAAAATAGGTAAAAAAGCCCTGTTTCACAAAATATCTCGCAAATATATAGATATATATATGTATATGTATATATTGTCACGGGTCTTTCTCTCCCACGCGTTTCATCACCCCTGTCGCCGTTTTATCTTCTCACGTGGTTTACGTTTTTTTTCCATTTTTTTCTTTTTTCTACTTTGTTTTGTCACCCCTCTCGCATACGAGCGTAAGTCGAAAGCTGTCGATCCGTCAAGGAAACATGTGTTTCGCGGCGCGTTTCTGCGAGGAAACGCAAAGCGCGCGCAAAAAGTGAGGAAAGACATATCCGATCAGATGCCCCATAAAAGGCAGAATTAAAAATGAAGCCGATGAAGGTGCTCCTCCTTCGGATCGCACTTTGCGACCGAAAGATGAAAATGAAAGAAGCGAGATCACGCGAAAGGAAAGCAAAGAACACAGAACACGTCGGCAAAGAATGACTATTCGTATTGTTCAAATTCATTTTTGATCTCAATTTACATGATTCTGCTTTTTGGCAACGTGAGTAAGAAAAGGGATTGGGATAGTGTAATTATTATAAAGTTTTGCGTTTTTAATATTGATCACACTGAGATGTACAAGGTGAGGCATCTGGAACGTTTTTACGAGATAGATTCGTCGAAGGATATAAGAGAGTATTACAAGTCACTTTGTGTGTGGCCGCCGTGTAAATTTTGTACTTTCTTCCTTCCGCTACGTGTGTCGAAAAATGTGTACCAACGACGAAATTAATAATCCGTAATTTAATGAGGAAGTTGTATTGCTACGATGGATAAATATAATGCGCACGGCCGAAAATGTTGATGTCTGTCGCAATCACGTAAAATCACATAAAAATCATATGCGAGTAAAATTCGATCATATAGCGTCGAATTAACACAAATTCATTCAATCTTAATACATTTTTAATAGTTGTATTTAATACGACTCTACGAAAAAATGTTTCTTCAAACACGCGTTATTGAATCTTAACACGTCATTTTTTTATTGCGATTTATTGCAAAATCGATCATCGTTTCAAGCAATTTTCATTTATATACAACTGATCTCGACCTGCGTAGAAAGAAAAGTAGAAGAGATTCGATAATTAACATAAGTGTCGATCTCTTCACACATCCCTTTTTCTTCAGCGACTCGCTTTGTTCATAACAGAACAACGTTAAAACTCCTCGAACAATTAAAAGATCTCCGACAATTTTGCTTTTTTTACATCAGTTTGCGGTGACTCGGCCGGGCACATTCATTATTTGCGTATCCATGTATTTCGTGTGTATATTCCGAAAATTACGTGTACGTGTATCAATCTTCCTTGTGTGTGTGTGTGTCAGCCTCCGCGCCAATAAATACAATAATTAACAATTAAAATAAATAGAGGAAAAAGCAAATAGGTAATTATATCTCATTAAGCGATATAATTTGGTCTCTCCTTGGTCTGCGGTTTTTGTTTTCATTCACATGTATTTTTCCGACCCTTGCATCAATCTTGCTTATTATTATATATTCCTCCCAGCTCTTCGATATCTATCCTTCCGTCTCTAGCTGTCCGTCTGTCACTAAATAATTCGTCAAGTATGTCGTCAGTGAAACGTCAATGTGTAAGTCTATTATGTTTTGTGTATATGTTGTGTATACATATATCTATATGTATATATATATATATATTATATTATATATCTCAGCACATATGATACCGTATGGTCGTAACGCTAATCAGAGACGGCCGTCTGTCGCGTATCTATTGCTTGCTCGACTCGACTAAAACTCCACGTTTCACGAAGGGAGGGTAGATTCTCCGGAACACGTTAGAAAAAGATATACATGTAACAAAGTCTCTCGGGACTCTCGTTCGATTTCGTCTCGCAATCAGGCCAAGCGTGACAAGCACACGTCTGGAAGCCTACGGAGGTGATAAATGATCATTTCTAGGAGGACGATAAGGGGGTTGCTCTTCTACCCTCGCCGTCGTACGCGGAGTTCGCGTCATCCACGTGTATGGGTCGTCGTATCGTCGTTATATATATATATACACACACAATCAACGCAATTAATCGAGTTACTTGTGCATTGCTCATTAGAACGATACGATTGCTTCGGAATATGCTGCCGTTAAACTACCCCCTATCCCTTTTTTGCCCGCTCATTTTTCTCGCTTGCGAAATCGCCGCTTTGCAGCTGTCATCGGTTTGCTTTTTAATTTTTTTTTTTTCAAAGACTCGGTTTAAGAATTTTTTTACGTATCTCGATAATGCAAGAAAAAGCTGAATGATGTGAAATTTGTTCGCAATCGTTGAATAACATAATATAGCATCAATACATGATTTTACAATTATTAGATATAATAAAGAATACAATAATTTTTATATCACACAATATAAATATGCAATTTTTCAATATATATATGATTTATAATATAACCAATAATAATAATATATATATATATATGTATATATGTATATATATATATGTACATATAGATTAACTTCATTATAATTTCATTATTGTATTATTATTGGTTATATTATAAATCATATATATATATATATATATATATATATATAAAATGACATATGACATTTCTCGCGGCATTTTACACCTGTGACTTTCTGAACAAAATTATTTTAAAAATAGAAAGGTCTTAAAAATTGATAGTACATTGAAATTATCAGAGTTACTTGGGCCTAAGTAGTTGACATGATGATGATGTCTCTTTTTTAATGGTATAACTCGTTCCTGATTCAGTCGTTCCATAAATGAATTTGTATTAGATGAAGCTTCCAAGGTTTGGAAAAAATTATTTTAAAAATAGAAAGGTCTTAAAGATTGATGGTACATTGAAATTATCAGAGTTACTTGGGCCTAAGTAGTTGACATGATGATGATGTCTCTTTTTTAATGGTATAACTCGTTCCTGATTCAGTCGTTCCATAAATGAATTTGTATTAGATGAAGCTTCCAAGGTTTGGAAAAAATTATTTTAAAAATAAAAAGGTCTTAAAGATTGATGGTACATTGAAATTATCAGAGTTACTTGGGCCTAAGTAGTTGACATGATGATGATGTCTCTTTTTTAATGGTATAACTCGTTCCTGATTCAGTTGTTCCATAAATGAATTTGTATTAGATGAAGCTTCCAAGGTTTGCAAGTTGTGGAATTGATACAATTTGTTCCTCCCATTCAGTTTGTTGGGATGCATATTTATATCATCCATAAATGAATTTGTATTAGATGAAGCTTCCAAAGTTTGGAAAAAATTATTTTAAAAATAAAAAGGTCTTAAAGATTGATGGTACATTGAAATTATAAGAGTTACTTGGGCCTAAGTAGTTGACATGATGATGTCTCTTTTTTAATGGTATAACTCGTTCCTGATTCAGTCGTTCCATAAATGAATTTGTATTAGATGAAGCTTCCAAGGTTTGCAAGTTGTGGAATTGATACAATTTGTTCCTCCCATTCAGTTTGTTGGGATGCATATTTATATCAAACCGAGTCCTTTTACGGAATGTCAACGTTGACAATCGTGGATAAAGCGATCAAAGCAACTTATCTATTCTTGTATACTTGGAGGACTTTGACGAGATATATGACGGAGGAATAACGTATTATTTAGTTTGAGAGACTTGTTTTAAGCAACTAAATGATAGCAGACATCGTCGTGACTGTCTAAAGGACAGCGGATTTTTTTCTTGTTTTTTGGCACAATCGCGATGGACGGGAGAGTTTAGCGGCGGCTAACACGTTTCTTTTGCATTCGGAATTGAGTAGTAGTACACAATACGTCCCGCATGAATATAGTAAAATAATTATCAATGCAATGTAATTGTTAATAATGTAATAATATATATGATATAATCCATATAATTATATATAAGATTGCGTTTTGGGGTGTGCGTGTATGCTTTGTCTCTTTAACATATATATGTATATACACGCAATATATATATTGTATGTATATATAAATAATATATACATATAAATATTTTACAAGTTTACGGAGTGGTGTGTAATAGAGGGGGTAGGGGGGGAAGAGGGAGGGAGACTAAGAAGACTAAATTAAATGGCGCTAACTAAATTATCTATCGAGGTCCTTTATAGATGCGTACGCAATATCTGTACCGCGTATATCGGCCCGATTTTCCCGAAACCCTTTCGTTCTGTAATGAGAGTATAGGAATAATGAAAACATTTCGCGCGCATACGCTAACTTGTTTTTTGTTTTCGCTTCTTCTCATCGCGTTTTCGCATTATCTCACTCATTAAAAAATATCTCAAAAGAATGTGATAACAATATTATTTGTAACATAAGTATAATATATAAATAATGACATCGTTACTGCTACTATTATCATTATATTATTTATAATATATAATCTCTACGCAGTAATTATAATTATTATGTAATAATAATTATCATTGCCAGTTGTTACATTGCTAATAACACCTCATCAATATTAATAATAATATTAATAATAACAGTAACGATGATAATAGTTTAATAAAATTATAGCAAAAATCGCGCGCAACTCCGTGTATCATTCATTCATTCTGCTCGGTGAAAAGAAAAAAAGCAGACGATGAGATAAAAGAAGAAACTAGAAAAGAACCACAGAAAGAAGCACTTTCTGTTCAAAACTAAGCGTTACTTATCCAACGCACTACGGAGCAACAGCACCCTTCACTTATCTTTGGAAATTGTACAGGAACATAGATCAGCTCAAAATCATCGAAAAGAATATTTATAAAAAAAAAAAAAAAAAAAAGAAAGAAAATCTATAAATAGATATATAATTTTCCGTTCGTATAGCAAGCGCATGGACTCATCTCCCTTCTTCATAGAATTATAATAAATATACTCTCTTTCTCTCTGGGTTTCCGGTGTTTCTTTCTCGATAAACTCCGCCAAGTTTGTGATTTGAGATTTTTGTCAAATTTAGCGTTGTCATTTTCGTCTCGGACAATTGGCTTGGCGGGAAAATGGGCCTGATATATGTATCTGCTATAAATATGTGTCTCGAAAATATCGAAGCTCCTTAATAGATTCTTTTTATTATACTTTTTTTAGTCTCTTCTCTTTTTATCCTCTCTTTAGCACTCGCGAAATATAAAATTGTATCCCGTGAACCATTGGACCGCGCTTAGTAACTATGGGCCGTCGTCGTCCCGCCAATCCGTGTCCGTTTTACATCTTTACTTTTTTTTTCTTAAATTGCTAGCCGCGTACGCGACATTAGCAACATGAACATCATGATTTTTATTCAAAATTATACGAATAATAATTGGTCCTACGCTTTCGCAGAATTTTGTCGAGCGTTCTCCGATCTGATGGATGCTACTCAATCTGTGGGAGAATTAAATTCGAGTCGGATATGTTATAGACTACGCTATCCCGTTTCCGTCAATCTTGAATCTTGACAAAGATTCGTTCGATTTGTGTATTAATATCACAAGATCGATTAATCACAAACTCGGTGTTTTATCAAAAAAGTAAACTCGCACACACAGCTGTGTTATTAATTATTATATATTATTATATAATATGGATTATATAATATATATATTATAATTATTATACACTTACATTTTCGTTGATAAAACGCTATTCATTCCGAGAGCATCGTCGATTTTTCATTGATCGTGGGAAAGAGATGCGTTTGAAACGTGAGACGAGCCGAATCTCTTCACGAAACTTGAACAACGAAGTTGCCGTAACACGTTCAAAAATTTCCCCCAGTCGATATTGAGAAGCGATCGTGAGAACGGGGATAGAACAGAAATTCATTCGAAGAATTCTCAAAGAAAGAAATCGTCAGAGTTAATTTTTATTCGGAATAAATTTAACGGATATCTTGCCGTTTTATTCATTCGTTACGTCTCTTCTTATATTCTTTTTTTTTCCTATTTACTTGTGATCTCTCTTTTATCTGATTCTGTGGTAGCAAAAATTGGGGCGGGCCGGTCTTACCGCAAACTCAATCGGCGATAGACCGCCCTCAAGACGGCGCGGCACTCACAAATACCTATTTACAAAAATATACACATGAGCAACTCACTTATTCGCGTGTGTATTTGCTTTTTTTATTTACCGTTTCCGTTCGTCATCTCTCTCATATCTACGCTGTTCATTTCTCTCAATCCGCTTCTTGTTCAGCATTTGTCTTGTCTAGTTCTTTCCTCGGCTCCATTTCATTTCGTCAAATGATGCTATGTATGGTATATGTGTATGCGGTATATCTGTACTTTTTATTTTTTCTTTTCATCTAAGAACCTCTACATATTCCCCGGTTAATTCTAGGTAATGTAAATAATATGTATCGGTAGTCGCATTTGTTACTGCTTTTTTCTGTGTTGTATATTAATTACTCTAGAGTCTAAATTACTTCCCCCGTGATCTATCTACAAAGAAAAAGAAAGAGATGCGTCCTTCGCACGCAAACGTTAGACGTAACTATAGTACATCGCTTGATCCTGTTGCTCGCGCATCTCTCCACCGAAAACACTTGAATCGTCTCCTCCCCTCTCTCATCATTTTATCACGATATTATCCCATTATTTGCGAATACAACTCTGTCGTCTGTTCCCCTATACAGAAACGCGGCGCCGGCGCGCGAGATGCATTCTCTGTCTGTTTTTCGTTATTATAAATATATTCTTATCTTTATTTTAACTATTTATATATTTATATAAGTAATAAACTATATATATATTAAATATGTATATATTCTCGTTTTATTCATCGCACTCGAATCGCCGAAACGATACTCATGCTTCAGGTAACGTCGGCTGTGGCGCACCGTGAAGCGAGAACACACGGGCGCTTTTCAGTGGCACTTCTACTACCCCTTCGTGGTTTCACTTTTTCTTATCTCTGCGTCTTCATTTTTTTCTTTCCTTTCTTCTTTTCTTCTTTCTCCGCTACCTCGGATTCTCCCCTCGATACTTCTCGTATCTCGATATCTACATGCGTTAACTTACAAAAGCGGACACTTCGGAAAAATAGACACAAGTTATCACTGCGGCTCGCTAGGAAATTTAATGAGCGCTCGTATCATCGATATCATCTCCGCTCAAGGATTTTCCATTGCGCCTCGAGAGTAAGTAACACGTGCTCTAAACAAAGTGCACGAGGTTCGTTATGCACCGTGGTAAGATAAAGCGGCTCCTCCTCTTCCGGTCGGCCGCTCTTTCCTTGCCCTTTTCAGGCACACGCGCTTCGCAATTGACTATAAACTTGTTGCTAAATTTATCTGAAGAATGCCCCCATATCGTCCACGGATCGCCCGACTAAGGAAGATCCCGCGAGCTTTCTCGATCTCCTTTTTCTCTTTCCAGAGATTACCATGACCCTCGTTATCGATTCGCTCGCACCCCCGAGACCACTTATCTCAGAAATAGTCTTTCTACATCATCAACACATCACCGTCGCGTCTTCCTATTTCTCATGCCTCCGGTTGCATCACTGGAGATGTTGTTTGTCGTGATTAGCATATCACACAACTACGTGAACATGGTCGGATAAGTGGCCATGTTTTGAGGAAGGGAGGTAATGTAGTTTGGGGTGGGTGGTCGGGGGCTGTGCCACTGTGGTCAGAGAGCTCGCAACTTCTTTATACCCGCTTGAACGTATCGCACGAGCTCGCGCAGTGAGCTATACGATGACAGGGGTCCCAATCTTCGATCCAAGTCAATGAAAAAGTCTGAAAGCACAAAGAAAAGTGGCAATTAACGGAACGAACGTCCGAATGAAAATCATCTTACACGCTGACGTAATATTTCTTTAAACATACTTTTGTGTTCCTCCTGTTTCGCCTGTTTCATCGCCTGATCCCACAAATCGTGACCATTCGTAAGTAAGCCTGAATACTGATTTTGCTTCATCATCGCGTTGTATACGTGCAATGGCACACTGACGTATTGGCCCGATGTTGCCGGATGTTGTCCGCCACTACTATATCCCGAAGAACTTTGACTGCCGACGGAACCTACAGAACCAGCGGGCGACGGTGTAGGCGAAAGAGAAGGTGTACCTTGTCCCTCCGGTTGCACTGGAGTTGTCTGAGCAGGTTGCTGAAAATGCCAAAATAAAATTCTTAGTCAACTCTACCACTTGTGTAGAACCTTACATTTGCAAGATAATCATACATCGTTTGAAATATTAAATATCCAATGAGATACAAATAATTATATATGATGTTTTAGCAAGCAAAGCTTACCTTTTGATTGAAGTCGTTGACAATCTTTTGGACCTCTTTCACTTCTTGTTTGCGTAAATTGTAAAGTTTGGAGTACAAGCGCGACTGGCACCAAAGGCTAAAAAAAACAATGGTTTTGAGATGTCTACTACAAGACCGATGTAATTGAGAGAACTCTTGGAAAAAAGTAAATACACTCACCTTAGGATAGCTAGCTTGGTATGTATACTATTCTCGGGCGAGTTGTTGGATTGGCTCTTGAATTTTGACGAGATGTATCTGCAAAACAAAGAGAAAATCAGAGATCGCTTTAATTAGTAGGCGCTCTCTTCTCGTTACGTTCGCGCTCATCTTAATTAGAAATGTGCTCACTTGATGAGACTGAGAGTATCTTTGTACATGGTGTACGAGGCTTTCTCTGTGACTGGATCCGACTCCATCGCATCTCCAGTTAGAAGGAAGTACAGTGCAGCCTCTAAATACATCATGCCTTGCGCTGTAAGGTCGCTCTCTTCATCAGCATTATGTTTCAATCGCTTAGCTTCAGTCAGGTACTGGTCATGGTCCCTGAAATATAAATTTCACAGGTTAAACATATTCTTATATTTTTAAAAAATTGATTTAAAGATATTAATTCAGACTATGTCTAATTATATGAAAAAATCCACGTACTTAGAAAAATTTATAAATTTTTGTTCTTGTATTAACAAAGAAACAGGTTGATTTCTCGACTACGATGGAACCTAAAATTCGAGTTCCATGGATATTTATGAACCATCTAAGATGTAAAAATAATGGTTTTTTTTTTTAGAGACCTGGGGAAAGTATTGATTTTCAATACTTTCCCCAGGTCTCTAGGAAAAAAGATCATTTTGACATCTTATATCGTTCATAGATACTTAGGTTCCATCGATAGTCACGAAATCGACTTTTTTTTAACATCCTCCTTTGTTAACATGCAAAAAGGCTTTACCTATCCTGATCCTCCAGGATTTCATTCTGTGGATCGAAGTAAGAATAGTAGACGCGTTGAGCTGGAAGAGGTGGTGGTGGTAATAAACTCGTATCTTGCTTCTCGTCCCTTTCGTGATTCGTCGGCTGGATATCGTTCTGTTGTGTAATAAAAAATAGATTTTACATGTGCTCACACACTACTGAGAATATATAACATTGTTACGTAAGAAATCTAGTCTACATACATATTTAATGAAATTTATTTAAATAAAAATTCATACTTGAGATGACATCAAGCCATCGTGTCTCCGTTGTCTCTTGCGACTCCTGTCCTTGTGCTCAGATGAACTCTTGGTTTTCGCGTCCAATGAACACTGAACAGGACTTAAACTCGACACGGAACTACAACTCGGATTACGTTTCCTCTTGGGCGCACTACCGCCACCGATCGCACCGGCACCACTACTAGCACCACCGGTTACACCTTCGAGCATAGAACTGCCGTTTTTCGGGCCTGAGGATATCGATTGGGCCTTAATCGCAGAGCGTGAACTTCTGTCACCGTTGTTACCCAATAGACCGATGTCGGTGCGAAGGATCCTTGGGCGATCTGACGGGACCTGTAGCGGTGGCGGCGTGTCGACAATCTCGCCCTCCTCCGGCGTAGGCGGTCTCGGTGGTTGCGACATCGCCAGGCTGGAGGACGGCCTCTGCCTTGAAGACGGCCTCGTATCGGGTAGTTCCGTGCGCCGTCTGAGTTCCTGTCCCCTTGTTAATTGCAACAACTGCGAAGATAACCTGTTGAGATCGATCTTGCATATCAGACTTGGCACGCCGTTCACGTGGGTAATGAGCGCGGGGGATAAGCGCAAGAGAAGATTGTTGCCAGCACTGGACGTCCGTGAAGATGGTCTCTTGTAAGGACTATCTCCGCCGGTCGGCGTGGCAGAATTACTCGTGTACTCCTCCACGTAGATACCGCATTTACCACCACCCTTGCCACCTTTTCCACCTTTTCCACCACCCTTCCCGCCACCTTTCGACGTCGAGAAGACGTGGCGCAACGTGTCGCTTTTCTTCTTGTCCTGCACATTACCGGCGTCGTCTTCTTGAAGTTTGGATGCCGGATTGTTGTCACTATCGGAATTATCAGGTGAGGTCGTCCTCGTCGGTGGTACTCGAGGTCTGGGTGGTACTCTATAATTAAAAATTATTCTATTAATACTTGAAACTTTGCTAGCTTTACGTATTTATCACAGAAGAACTAAGAAAAAGAATTTAAAAAAAAATTCTAATTCAAATAACCAAAGAAATGCCTGAACCATCTGGAGTATATTCTTAATTGGTAGTAATCCAAATGTGTCAAATAATGAAAGAAGTGTAATGTTAAAGAATAAAATAAAGAAACAAAATTATTATACCAAGAAGAAATAACTAATAGTGTAAAAAAAAACCAAAATTGATGGATTCCAAATTATGAGAAATAATTACCGAGCAACTTTGATGCGACTATTTCTCACGGAAACTTCTGATTCGCTGTCGGAATCAGAGCCACCGGTTTTGGTCACCCTGGATCTCGGTCGTCTGGGTTTGCCCTTGGCAGGACTCTTCTTCTTGTCCTGCTTCTTCGACGAGTCCGACAAATTGTTCCGCTTGATGGAGGGAACTCTCGTCCATCGTGTGGCGTCGTCCTCGGAGGCACTATTGTTATTTTTCCTGTTCGATGGCGGCGGACTTTCGTCGTCCGTGGACGACACGCTCAGCATCGATCTCTTCTCGGTTCTCGTCGGCGCCACGGTCGATACTTTGGTAGATCGGTGATCGCTATCGGAGTCACTTTGCGATCTCGAGTCGCTGTCATCATCGCTCGTGGTCACCGTTTCTTTCGACTTAGGCTGCTTCTTCTTGCTGGAAGTACTACCGACCGTTCTCGTCCGGCTACGCGGTTTGGTCTTTAAGCTCTCATCCGACGTCCGGTTGTGCTTTGGACTTTTATTGGATTTCCTGGGTCGCCCGCGTTTTCTGGCGTCGGCCTTCGGCTTCTCCACCTGAGAGCGATTGTCTTCGATCAGTTGATGAACCTTCTCCGGATCGGAGTGATGATCGCTGTCGCTGAGAGAACTTATGTGAGGCCTCTTCAGGGCATCATTAAGCTGCCAATCATGGGACTGTTCGCTGTGCGATCTGTTGGTCTCTGTCTTAGTCTCGAGTGTATCCTCTCGTCTAGCGTTATCCTGCGAAAAATTATCATGTTATATTAAAAATTCTCTAATATACTGTCTTAGTCTCGAGTGTATCCTCTCGTCTAGCGTTATCCTGCGAAAAATTATCATGTTATATTAAAATTCTCTAATATACTAAATACATTTTTTCTATAGAAGAATCGAAGATTCAAAGCTCTATTGTCGCTTTCCTCAAACTTTTAAAGATCTCTACAACCGTCTCAAAAATATCCATCGTCTTTAATTAACATAGACAGAGTAGGCTTACCGGAGCCGGCTTCGATTCGGAATTCTGTTCGTGCTGTATCGCCGCCTTGTTGAAGAAGGAACTAAGCTTCCAGGAGCGACGTTCCTCCACGGCTGGTGGCGGTTCCTCGACCAGATTTTCCGGCTTCGGCGACACCGAGGGCGGCGTCGTGGGTCCCTTGGCCGGCGGCGGCGCCGACGTCGGATCGTCCTCGTCCTCGGAATCATCGCTGCTGTCCGAGCCGGAATCCGAGCCGGAGTCCGAGCTCGAGCTAGCGCTTCCGGAACTCTGCGGCGCCTCGGCTGGACTCGATGGTTGGCCGAGGACGATCTGATTCGTCGGCGGGCAACGCATCGTGTAACTGTTAACGCCGGGCAGAGGTGACATCGCTTCTTCCGGTGTCCGCTTCGGTGACGGATATTTAGGCGGACTAATCGGCCGCGGCGGCGACAGAGGTCCCATAGGCGACAGGGTCCCATAGGCGATAAAGGCGTCGGCGCTGATGTCATCGCCGGGATCAACGGCGTCGGTAGATTATGAACGCTAAATCAAAAGGTGCGAAAATTTAGTATCCTGTATTTTTTGCGACAACAATATCAACACGCGTTGGAAAATCGCGACAATGAGATTAATTGATGTAAAAGATTTTTTTTTATTTAAAAGAAATTTGTAATTGTTAATTTAAGCTAAAATTGTGAAAATAATGTATATAGGATTTCATATTAAAATATATACATATATATTTCAAGAACTCGAGAAATTTAAATAAATAAAATTACAGAGGTAAAGTTGCGACATTACAAAAATAATTTTCTATTTTCTCTATATTGCAAAAAATTATCATAAAATATTAAAGACATTGATAATATTCGTTCAAAAAAAATATATATATATATGTATATAAGTTTATATTATGAGATACAAATTTTTGTGTGTGTGAATATTTTTATAAAAAATAATAAATATTGTTTTAGACTTTTCTTGTAACTTAATTTCGACAAATGATTAATAAAGATATCAAATTAGAATACTTACGCGACCGTAAGATCTGGACTCCTATTTCCTTTCGTCGGTCTCGACGATATCTCCTGAGAATAAGACGATCAACTATCAGCAATTTCGCCGTGAAATAAAGTGGAACGGAATTTTTCTTACAGTGATGAATGCTTTTATTCAAACGCGACTTCATTGTATCGTTTTACGAAAGTACTTTGCGGTATTGTAAGAAGGAAAAAAAAACAAATACGAAAGTGGAACTATTGTTTAACGTTAATATCTCAAAAGTAACAGCTTGGAAAAGCTCAAATATTCATTACCCATATAATGCTCAAAATATGTTATTAATATCCAAGTTATAGTAACCGAGATCAATATCGTACCTTATTTAATGCAAAATAATTATACATAGAAAAAAAAGTTTTTACCCAATTATTCAGAGATATGTTACCTTGTTCTCCTCATCCTCACTATCTGACAGCCTCAAGTCTCGCTCGAGATCACTGCAACAGAAAGAAAGCGTCGTTCCATTTAATCTCGAGAATGAGAGGCACTGGCTTGTGTGTGATTCACCGAAGTGCCTTAGTGAAGTGAACACTAAGGGGATTTATAGCTCACTGTTTAACGCGATCCTTCTGAAATCGCTCGAGCGCCACTCGTTAAACAAGGAAACCCGTTCGGCGCGACTAGAGATTTTAAACGGCTGCAGCAGCACTGCGGTAGCAGAAGATGGAGATAGATAATTTGATATCACGATCAGCATACTCGATTAGAATCCAAGAGAAGTTACATATATATATTATATAAAATATATATATATATATATATATGCGTATAAGGAATGCACGTGCGACTGCAACCTGTGGAGTATCGCGTATTCCAAGGAACAATCGTTCATTGATCCTTAGAGCAACTGCTTGGTCTCCAGTCACTCCATTAGTGTTTCTCGCATTCTACGCCGTCTGTTTCCCGTTGTAAGGCTTAAATCTAGGGTCTCAATTAACTCGAGTTGGAGAGAGGCAATTGGAAATATGCAGGATTGGGAAAGTTACTTTGTAAAAGTAACTAGTTACGGTTACAGTTATTTCATTGGAAAAGTAACTAGTTACAGTTACAAGTTACCGATTCTAAAAAATAACTCGTTACAGTTACTCAAAAAGTAACGAGTCGTTACTTTTTAAAAATAATTATACATTATTTTAAATATATAAGAAGCTTACATTTTATGCACAATCACAGTCAAGTATTTAAAAAAATTCTTGAATGTAATAATTGATCGATTTGTACCATCAATGTATGAATGACCTTTATATACAACAGTAACAATAGTTAGTAACTTACTAAATGGTAATCGCAAATCGACCAATTATTACATTTAAGAATTTTTTTAAATACTTGATTGTAATTGGTCGATCTTAATTATGTGTTATATTATTTTATGTACACTAAATGAAAATTTTAGGTAAACAATTAAACCATACTTGAACGATACTTTTAGCACATGTTTCCAAAAAAAGTAACTATTAAAATAGTTACTAGTTACTTAAAAAATGTAACTAAGTTACAGTTACAGATGGAGAAAAGTAACAAAGTTAAGTTATAGTTACCGATAAAAAGTAACTGTAACTGTAACTTCGTTACAAGTAACTCGTTACTTCCCAACCCTGGAAATATGTGAAATTTTTACATAAGATATTTACGTGACAATTAAAATTAGAATCACTTTTTTAAATTATGACGATACAAAATAGAAATACATATATATTTGTGTTATTATCGCGAACGATTTATTAAAACAGAGAAACACTGCATTGGATCTCTAAATTCCTAGCGAAAATTGATAAGTATGCGTGTATGTGTTTGTGTGCTTTGCAGCCACTGGAGACTTAAAAAAATGATGAAGATAATTAAAAAGCGCGCACAAGAGATATAATACATATTATTTTATATATACGATATATTGCGTGTAATCAACGTATTGCATTAAATTACATGTGAGGTAATTTATTGCTTTTCGCGAGTGCTTAAATGCATTAAAAAGTTAGGATATTAATTCCAAGTCACGTCGTTTATTATCTACTCTCTGAATCACTCACTCACTCACTCTCTCTCTTTCTTTCTAGCTTAATTTAATAAAGTGGATAATAACAATGTATATATGGTTCTTGGACAAGGTCAGGTTTACATAGGCAGCAAAAAAAAAAAAAAAAAAAAAAAGAAAATGGAATTTCTAATACAGCTCGTTCAACGAAATACGGGATTGTTTTTAGATATCTTAGCCGCGGAATTACAAGATTCGCGAGATAGCTAAGAAACAAAGCGAAACGCTTATGCATGAAAATATCATCGAGATTAAAGTCGAGGCTCTATGAGAAAAGCAGATGGTCGAAGTAATTGCTTCCGAGTAAAGCTCGTTGCATCGCGATTCCCAGAGATTACCTCTCGACGAACGCGCGCACTTCGGACAAACTGTTGAGCGGCGATCGCAATTACCTGCTTCTACATCATTAAGCAAATACGTCGTTTATCAGTTTGCCCTTGGAATTAGCCGCGTTTAATTTAATAAGAAGGATAATCGCGCGCATTGCCCGGGACGTCTTGCGCATCTCTCCCTTTTCCTATTTTTTCTCGTTCCTTCGCCCTGAAGGAGAAACGGCGCGCGTCCTCGTCCTTTTTCGATGATCGCGAGCCTCCGACGAGTATCCGGCCGATGTGGAATAGAGTCCGGAGACAAGGCCAGGGCGAGGATATAGTATCCGGCGGCGGTGTGGAGGAGAGAAAGAAGGAGATAAAGAGAAAATACATAGAGTACCGAACATCGACGGCGTACGGCTGAGGGCATCGACCCTCGATGCACTGTCCTACGTCCGCGCACTCTGCGAAGCGGTGCCTTGTGGTTTCGCCACACCGTACTGCGTACGCTTAAAGCTCGTTGTTCTCTCTCTCTCGTCTCTCTGCCTAGCCTCTAACTCGATTGACAAGCGACTATATACTCCGGCCATGGAGAGATTTATTTCATTGAGAATTTTTTCAAGAAAGAAGTCGTACGTCAAAATCTATATGACACCGAAGAAAACGGGACGTTGTTCTACTTTGGTGTACTTGAAGTTTTATGCAGGTATTTTATTAGTTTACACTCTCCGTTGGATGTAGGTATTCAAAGCCCTTCGTCATTCTGTTTTTCGTTTTTTTATTTTATATTCCTCTCTACTTAAATTTCAAATTTTACGTTTTGTAATTCATAACGTCCACGTATAATCTAGCTGTCAGAAAATAAAACAATGACTCGCGAAATTGATCGCAAAAATGCTTCGACGATTTCATAAACAATTTATTCGAAAATGTTATTTATATAGAAAGATATATTTGCATTCCTGATATAATTAATACATCTTCCCAGAAGCTGTCAAAATTGGTTTTTATACGCGCATCTGTTCTCACATTTCTCCTTCTTCTACATGTCCAAAGACGTATTGAATTTAATTGAATTTCATCGATATTTCGCGAATAACTGTATACAGCCGTATTGTCCTAGAGAAGTTAATAATAGCTACGGTTTGATTCGAATTACGCCAACGTCTAAGCGTTTGCTCACTGCTGACTCGCTCACCGCTGCCAGCAAGAAACCTGCTAAATCGCCGCACGAAAGAGTTTAACGATCGCGTCTCGAACGGTACAAATTACTCGGCTTCGTGGGAACGTTCACAATTTTAGCACCGTGCCGTTCGACGTTCGCGCTTTGTTTATGGACGCGCGCGCGCGAGTTGCATTTTTCTTCGGGGGAAAAACGTCGACTTAATTGCTAAACGCGCGCGATTTATCAAAACACAACGTCGTTAATGAGAAAGAAGCGCGCGCGTCCGAAAAAATTCCATCAATTTCATCATCCTATTCCAGTTAATATAATTTTATACACTCAATCCTCTGTCATTCTCTCTCGGAGCAAATCTGATCAAAAATATCCGACATATTTTTTCATATATACAATTAATAAAATTAGAAAAATATTTCATACACTTTTTTATTAATAGAATCAAAAATCGTTTTGCATTTTTCCCCACTTTTTTTTCCACTGTCACTCTGAATAAATACATAGGTATATAATGAAATATATTTAATATAATAAAAAAAAATCTATTTTCGAGAATAGAGAATTTAGAGCATATGCAGTTTTCCTTTCATTTTTCACACTCGTACCTTCGTCTACGCGACTTTCGACGATTTAAATGCTCGAAGCCGCGGTAGTGAGAACGCGGCCCATTGTCAGTCTCCGACTGTGTCGTCGGCGTTGATGCAACTCGCAGCCTCCCTTCGGCGGTCGGCGCCTCGGTAAAGGAAAGGAACCTGTTCGCGCGAGGCGTTCCTTTAACCTCGCGTTCCGGCGCGCAACGGAACCGCCGTGTCGTAAGCGTGTTACACGCACACACGCGGAGGAACACCCACGCGTGCGAGTGGTACGTGAGTGCGGACGGAACGAGGATGAACGGGCGGAAAATGTTTCCGCGAGCGACGAAAAACGAGGAACCAGACGGAACTCGATGTTTCATTAAAGACGCGAATGAACGTTCCTCGGCGTTTCTTTTGATAAGAACGAGCGAGGGAAGAGGAGTCGAGATCGGAGCAAGTGTCGTACGATGCTTTCTTATATGCTGATTCGAAAGAGGAATTTCAATTGTCAAGGAATTTTTAACGCGATTCTGCTGTGCTCGGCGAAATTTAACTCCTTAGTCGTCGAACTACTTTGAGACTGTTCTTCGGAATTTGTGAAGAAATTAATGAAAAGTATAAGCTGTATGCACGCATATACATATATTTTTTTCCTGGATATGTAGTTATTTTCTAGGTATATCATTATTAACAATCACAGGTATATAACATAGTACAGCTCGTTAAATACTAACGACATCAAACAATAATTACGACCAATAAGAAAGTAATTGCGGTTGACACTGCATAAAAATTAAATGTTTCCCGAGAATTTACTATATTCTACAATATATTCCTCTTGCCTGATTACTATGAGAAATTTGATATTATTTCAATTTATTTCATCCGCAGAATAATTAGAAACGTAAACGGGAAAAAATATCGAGACGCGAATAATTAATTCAGGCATCTTTCGTTCTCATTATTATTTTCATATTATTGATCGATCGTAAAATAATGATTTATCGTCGATTAATAAACGAAGAAAATTCAATCAATTAATATTTTACGCTTTAAAAAATTTACTAACTCTATTCACGATTAAATAGTTAATCGAAAATTCCGTAAAATCACAAGGTAGCAGGTGTGATTAATGATAAATTAAACTTTCTGACATACATGCGTCGAGGCGGGAGGCGGTTAACGTCAACGTGTAACGAGTAACTGGACTCCTCTAGCTCTAGCTGTAGGGTAAACGGCGCACTGCGCAAAAAAGGATAATGATCTTAATCGAGGGCAAGTTCGCAGGAGCCTCGTTTACGAGCTTCTGCCACGCGGCGTCTATTCAAAACGTTTG